TAAAAATTAATTACTTCTGCTGTAGGGAATTTTCTGCTGGGTATAAAAATATTAGAAAAAAAAAAAAAAGAAGCTTACTAAGTAGAACAACTCCAAGTTCTCCGGCTTGTAGAGACTTGAGTGCTGGTTGTGACACATAGTGTCATATCACCTGCTGACGGATTAATAGGAGAAGGATCCCTAGTTCTCATAGCAATCTCATGCAGATATTGCTGGGGCCCTGTTCTTTAGAACTGGGCAGGTGCCCTAAGATTTCCCTCTAAGCAAGTCTCCTTCTGTGATTCAACAAGCCTTATTCTGTTGGTTGTTCTCGGAGGCACTACTCATACCTGGAAGGATTATTCTGAATTGCCATGGATGTTTCAAGTCTGAATCATTCAAAGTTTCGAGGCTCCTTCTCTAGCCCTCAAAATGTCTTCTCCATGGTCACCGTGGTTACAGGTGGAGGGCCTACCTACAGCTTCTGCACTGTCCTTTCAAGTAAATTTCAATGCTGAGAGAAAGCCAAGTATTATTCTTGGGTGCAAACTTTTGTGGCCCGTAATTCTTCCTGGCAGTTTTCTCCCCTGGTGAGGGTTATTGATGATGAATTTGCCAAAAGTCATCCAGTTTGCTGTTGATTGAATTGAGGTCAATCTATTTTTATGTCTCCCACCCGCCACTCAGTGCTGGGACTGAACCCCAGGCCTTGTGCATGTGCTGCACCCCTGAGCTACATCCCCAGCCTGTGATCAATCTGGTTTTATTTTATTTTACAAGTATATTTTATTCTATTTTACAAGTGTATGTGTTTGCTGGGGATCAAACCCACGGACCTCATGCACGCTAGGCAAGCACTCTACCACTGAGTTATGCCCTCGATCCCATCAATCTAATTTTAAAACTGGTTATTTATTTTAAATTTACGCATGGAAGTTTTCAGTCTTATCTGAATTATTTTTCTAACCATCCCAATCTTTCTTTAAAGATGGAAAACACTCCCAGCAGCTCAGAGGCAGGAGGACTGCAAGTTCAAAACCAGCCTCAGCAACTTATTGAGGTCCTAAGCAACTTAACAAGACCTTGTCTCAAAAATTTAAAAAATAAAAATAAAAAGGGCTGGGGATGTGGCTCTGTGGTTAAGTGCCCCTGGGTTCAATTCCTGTTACCAAAAAAAAAAAAAAAAATCAAGGCACCACTGGGTTTCAGATAGTTGGCAAAGTGAAGGCAGAGGCCTTCTGAGACTCTTCACATACTTCCATAGCCATTTGTCTAGTTAATTGCTTTTATCTCAAAGGATAATAAAGTCCTCTTCCCTCCCAGAGAGGGACAAATGGCTGGGCAGAGGTCTGGGTTTCACCCCACTGTGCCTGCAAGACTCCAGGGAGGAGTATTTACACACCAAAGGGAGCAAGTCCCAGACCTTTAAGGCCTTAAGTGGCTTGGGAGACACCTGGGGCTGAGACTTTCTTTAATCAGTGGTGTCTTTTGCTTGTTTGGGGGGAGGGATCCTGGGGAGGAAACCCAGGGCTTCCCAGGTACTAGGGGAGCACCTGCCACATTCCCAGCAGGAAAGACTATTCACACCCCAAAAGGCTGGAGTTAGGGTCCCGCCATTATGCTTCAAGAGAGACCCTTTCAGGAAGGAGAGGGAGTCCACCTCCTTTGGCTTTATAAGCAGAAAAATGTTATTATTATTATTATTATTTTTCTTGTTCTTCTCCTAATGTCCACCTATGACATTCCCCAGCCCGGAGGAGGGAGGGAGGGGGCGGGACGATGTGTATAGACTTACTTAAGCTAATTAATACTTAAGGTAATTAGTAAGATCAGATCCGGAACACCTGGTGTGCACATCCAGGACAAAATTAATTAAGGTAAGCGTTGAACACCTAACCCAGACGGCACAGTGGAGCCGGCTCTTGCCCTCCTCCAGCGACAATCCTGACCACTCAGGAGAGGGAGGGGGAGGTGTCCAATCAGTCCCTCCTCCCGGGGCTGGGAGGCTGCAGGATGCCCACGGCCCTCTTTCCTTTCTTTGAAGGGGCAGATGTTAGTCTCCATCTTGATAAAACACACCCAGCTGCATTTCGATTTTGGATATATAACAATTCTTTGGTAAAGGTGTGTCCCCAGTATTGTCCCACCTATACCAAGAACAAGCAACACAAAACCCACAACCATTTGCTGTTTATCTGAAATCCAACCTGTATTTTTATTTCCTAAATCTGGCAAAGTATGGCGGTGACCCAGGAAGACCCCTGGAGATGCCAACAGCTCTTGCCCACTGAAGGAATAAGATAAGCAGGGCTCTTGTGCCCCTTTCCCTTCATTTTGGGGCTGGTGAAGAAAGACTGCTTAGCATATCGAATCCAGGAAATCTTAACTAACACCCATAAGTTTTTTGGTCATAGTTTATTTAACAATCCATTGAATCTTCTTAGGACACCCTGGGAGGATTGCTTTATTTCTCCCAATTGAGATGGAAGGGCTGGGACTGTGGCTCAGTAGATCTTGGGCTTAAGCATGCGTGCGACTCTGGATTCAGTACCCAGTTCCAAAAAATAGAAATGGAGTTGGAATGCCTGAGGTCCAGAAAGCAAGCAGAACAGTGCGTGGCACAAAGGAAGAAAATTTTAAAATATTTACCAAGTGAATGAATATCACTTGGGTCGGATGAGCCTGCAGAAACAGGACGGTGGCCAGCAGAGGACATTTCTTTTGGCTATTTGTGCCTCTAGCCAAGGTGCTGATTCCTTAAGAATCAATTCTTTGGCCTATCAAGTTAGAATTTCCTCATCAATCATGTGGATCTTATCATTTCCTTCCTGGTCACTTTGCCGCAGAATGTGGGGCAGAACGAACGAGTGGGAAAGCTCTCCGCAGCCGCAAAGCACAGTCACCTCTGTTCTTGGCCCTAAGGACTGTGAAAGACGGCAAGGGGTCGGGATCATTCTGAAGGATCCTTAATGAGGTGGGTTCTGCTCCAAGACTTCTGCCTTTAACACAGAGAAGGGGCTGGGAGAAGTTCTTGGGAAATATCTTGCATGCTCAAGTTTGCTGACAGGTCAAAACACTCTCTCCCCGTGGACTGTCCATCCACAGAGAGGCATGTGACCTGGGTCTTGATCAAACCCGCCTCCTCTATTCTCGGAGCTCTTCTTGATGTTTGCATTTAGAAACCCAGACTTGTTTTTCAATAGTTTCTAAACAGAAACCAAGTGCCTGTGCGAGACTAAAAGTCACACCCAGAGTAGGTGGCAGAGACCTTGGGTTTTAAATAATCAGGAGACTCCCACAAGGCCTTGCTTAGGTTTCCTTCATTGCCAGCCACAGAAACCAACAGACTGAAGCTCAAGGCAGTGCGTGCGTCAGCAGGGTGAGGCTGAGGACAGGCCAGGGAGGCCAGGGAGGCCAGGGACACAGCTGGTAATAAGAATCTGAGCAAGAGGAACTAATGTCCAGCCAGGCCAGGGTGTCAGGCTTGGGACGCCTCTGTTCCTGTTTTCTTTCTTTCCTTCTTCACTTATCCCTCACTTCAGGATGGGAGAATGGCCTCAATAATAAATATAGACCATCATCTCCCATGGCAAGTGGTCTGGGGCTAAGTGTCTCAGGGTGGGTTGGGCCACTCAAACATGTCAAGACCTGCATCTCTCTGATGTTTGACTCCTGGGTCACAAGATGGTTGCTGCAGCTCCAAACATATTCTTGCATCCGTATCAGGAGCAGGAGGAGAGGAGGACAGTGGTAATGGGGATCTTTCCTTTAATAAGGAGGTCTTATCATCCTTTCTTTTGTAATTCGTTGCTTGGAACTGGGTCAAATGGCCACCCCACTATGGACAAGGCTGGGAGTCGGGTGTCAGGGGAAAGAGAGACAGTGAGAGGGACTGGCTTGGACAGGGCTTCGTCTCCTGCGGGTAGGTGTGTTGTTGCCCAAAGCTAAACCAGTGCCCTGTTAGCAAGGAGTGAGGTGGCAATCGCTGTCAAGAGTCGAATTCTTAGCAAACAGAATCTAGCTGAGGTCCACCACTGACCCAAAGGAAATCTTCCCAAGGGGAAGGGAAGGGAGGCAGGAGCTGGAGGCAGAAAAGACACCCCTGCCTCCCTCTCCCATGGGCCTTTTCAGATACCAGGTGGCTTCCTTATCTAGCCATGACAGGCTGTGTCATTCTGTGGGGCCCAGTGCAAATAAAAATGCAAGACTTGTTCAAAAATTATTAATGTCCCCAACGCAGGGTCCTTCTGACACGGGCCTCGTGTGAATGCACGAGTCACATGCCTAGTGTCCGTCCCAGGAGGGGAAGCCTTTAGGGAGTGCGTTAGCCTCTGTTTTCATGTGAGAGTGAGTTAAACCGTTAACGTTGGTAGGGAAAACCGTGATTTATAGTGTTATAATTCACACATGCCCAGCCCTTTGTACAAACTCTTGTAAAATTTTAAGAAAGAGGAGATCAGGCCCATTCCGTGTGTATAATTCAGAAGCAGAATTTAGAGGAGAGAGACCCCTGGGGCGGGGGTGGCTTCCAGTCTCCTCTGCAGCAGAGTAAGGGGGTGTCCGATTGGATTTATTCCTCGTGCCCATTCAGACTTGGCAGTGCCCTCTGGTATCGGATCATCACGGTGGTCCTGTGTGATACAGTGTGTTATCCTCATTTCATAGACGACATCATCGGGGTTCAGAGTCAAGCTGCAACTGGAAGCCAGACGGTCTGAATCCAGAGCCCGTGTTCAGGAGCACGCTGTGTCATGGAACAGGCTGGCTGGGGAAATGGTGAGCAGTTGGTTGGCTGAGACCAGACATAAAAAGGCCGTCCATTCGAGGCTCTTAGAATTCCAGGGGCCGTGGGGGTTTGATAAGGACATCACCCCAAGACAGAATAAAGGATGGATTATGGCTCCAAAGATGTCAGTGGGAGATGAGCAAGGGCGCCTGAGCCAGGAAATTCACTTAGTACCGCTCACGGAGGTGCTGTCGCACACAGCCGGCTTTTAAAATGAATCCAAGGGCCAAGAACATTTGTCTAAATACTTTAATTAAAATGCGCTGTAATCTGAAAGCCCCAGTGTGCATGTGAAGTATTCATGTTTACTAAGGAAACAGATTATAATATTCCTGATAGCTGAACACATTTTGATTATGAAATTTTAAACAGCTTCTTGGTCTGGTTTAAAATATTTATGTCGTTGAAAAAATAACTTGCTATTCATTTTCTACCCAAATGCAGGAAATATTGAGACATTCAAAATGCACAGATTCAACATACACAGATAAAGGTCCTAGAATTCCTCGACTGTAGAATGACACTGTTTCTGAGCTGTTCCATATCTCAGCAACCAACAGTCCAATGCAATCTGGAGAATCATGCCCGTCTTGAACTCAATTGACCCAATATCCAGGATTGGGGAAAGTGTTGAATTTGATTTAAGATAGCTCAGTGAAATTAAGACACTGTTCGTCTCACTTCAAAATCAATTTCTTTCCAGGGCAATTATTGAGAACGGTAAGAATCTCTTGTTTTACATAATAAGCAGTAAGAGTTCAAGAATTGACAACTAAAGAAAGAAGAACATTCACATACAAAAGATTCCTTATGAAACAGGATTCACAGTGAAGGTGCCATTGAAACGTTTTGCCGTCTACAGAAGGGCGATATGTTTACCTTCTGTGAAGATCAGAAATAACTTGCTAAGAGTGGAAGCATTCTCTGTGCTTGGGTCTTAGAAGATGCGGTGTGAATATGGGAATGATAAATGAGGGTAAGAGAAGAAATCCTCCTAAACTCCCAGACCTTCCCCATTTAAAAAGACTGTGCCAGTGAAATTAGGTCCATACAAGATTTTTTCCAGTGCTGGGGTGAAACCTAGAGCCTGGCTCATGCCAGGTAAGTTTCCTACCACCGAGCTACACCGGCAGCCCCTGTACGTGACAATCAGATTGCACATTATTTTTTTTAACAGCATTGGATTGGAATCATCAATGCTTGTCGATGGAGATGGTTTAAGTACCATGATACGTCCATCCGATGGGCTAGATTGCCATCCATGAAAACATAGGCATGTTCTTTATGTACTGATAGGGAACAATCTCTAGAATAAATAAGATGGAGAAGAATGGTGGGCCTACTGTGGGTTGCCACTTATAAAGGAGGAGAAGGTGCCAGAGGGGGAGGAAGAGGGAGGAGCGGGACATGGTGGCTCATGCCTATAGTCCCAGTTACTTGGGAGGCAGAGGCAGGAGGATTGCTTGAGCCCAGGAGTTTGAGGCCAGCCTGGGTAACAAAGCAAGACCATGTCTCAAAAACAAAAACAAACAAACAAACAAAAAAAAATAAGAAAAGAAAAGAAAAATAAGAAAAGGAAGGGAATAAGAATGAATATACATAGTTACTTGCATAAGCATAAAATATCTCTGAGAGGATACACAGGGAGCTGATAACAGTGATTACTTCCAAAGAGGGCTCTGAGGAGGCTGGGAGCCAGGGATAGGATCAATCATTTTTCCTGAGTATCCTTTTGTACCCATGTGAATTTTTTTTTTTTTTTTTTTTTTTTTTTTGTGCTGGGGATTGAACCCAGGGCCTTGTGCATTCAGGGCAAGCACCATCTGAGCTACGTCCCCAGCCCCATGTGAATGTTTTTAACCTACTAAAACAAATGACTAAAACCTTTAAAGAGGAGGATAATAATGCTGATCATCATTCCACTCAATGTCGTGAACGGCTATACCAGTGAAATGGCGTTCAGTGGAATGATTGTCCAGGTCACATGACATGACATCAACGAGATAAATCTGTTCATCACTCTGGGATTTGGAAATGCTTGGGCCCACCTGGGAACTCCCAAGTTGTTTAAAAATGTCACAGTGTTGTTTGTAGCCGAAGGACAAATACTACAGTTTGGAGCCTTCGGGAAGTCCCTTCAGGGGCTCCCCAGGTCCTGTCATTTGATATAAAATGGGAAGAACCTACTGGAATTCAAGCCCTTTGGGTTCACGGTTGCTGGTAGAAACAAATGGTTCAATACCAGATTCTGTTTTTAATCATGGGCTCCCCCAAGAGCCATTCGGTATGCAAATAAAATCCTCTTGATAAATATTCATGGACTGAATAACCCTTTCTGCTTTTTTTTTTTTAATCATATAAACATGACATGATCTGGAGGGACTTCAGGGATTTAAGTGGTGTCAGCAGCTGTGAGATTACATTTTTGAGGATTAATCCAAGTCGCTGCCACCATTTCTACAGCAAGGGTGTCTAAGGCAAGTGACGGCCTGATCCCTGCTGGTGAGAAATGGGGCTTTTCAGGGTGACAGGCTGAGGATGCTCCCACAGGGCTGCCCTTTACCTGGGAAAGCTAAGTCCATTTCCACCAAGTCCGTTTCCCTCTTCTCTGCTCTGACATAATGGCGTCAGACAGGCAATTGAATGTAGTCGGGGGAACATGCAGGGCCAGCCTAATAAGCTGCATGTCCTTTAATGTCCCTTAACTGCCTAGCCAAGGAAAACAGCATTCCCTGTTCCGACCAGGATCACCACGGACAGCAGGCTGCCCCCCCCCCCATTGTTTCTTACCCTTGACATAAAGGGGACATAAAGGGACGAATCCGGAGAAGCCCTCCCACCCCCAGACCTGACTTCTCCAAAAACTTCCAGAGACCTCAGAGCCTCATTCTATCACCTGCAGATGAAATTTAAAAGCGGAAAGTGATTTTGTTCTTTTAAAATATAAGCCACAGCGTGGTCCGGGGACTGTGGGAGCTTGGGGACACCGACATTTGATGGACATTTGCTGATTTCAAGACCAAGTCCTTCAGGAGGCGTCGTAGGAATGGGAAGGTTGGCTCGACTGAGGCCACTAAAGCCGGCAGGCGTCCTCGGACGCACGGGACCCTGCACAGGGCGCGCGGGCGACCCTCACTCACTCCACCGCCTCCTTCTTCTCCTCGGGCATTTCTATGGACAGAGACGGCTCGCCTGGATCCGGACCAGGGCTCATGCCGATCCGCACCGAGCGCTCCTCCGGCCCCACCACTCCTCCCCCGCCTGCCTCGGGCTTCCTGGGGGAGGCAGGCGACGCAGAGCGCGCGGCCGGGGGCTCCTGGGGCGCAGGCTGGCCAGGGGCAGGCGCCACCGAGGGGGCCGAGGGGGACAGGGGGGCCGGGGGGGCCGGGGGGGCCGGGGGGGCCGAGGGGGCCGAGGGGGCCGAGGGGGCCTGGGGCTGGTCCTGGGCGGCAGAGCCTGCCTCGTCCCCCTCTCCTGTGGCTTCTTGCGACTTCTTGGCCTGAAATTCAAAAAGGATGATTGGTGAGAAACAAACGCCCAGGGAGTCTGGCGGGGTCTGGATACCTCCTAGTTTCCATCCTCTTGGGCCCGAAGAGCAGGACGGGGGTGCCCACGGCTGACGTCTGCTGGGGCAGGGCAGCTTATCGAGGTTATTTAGAAACAGCAGCATATGTTACGCGACATTTAAGGACAGAAAGTCCCAGCTGGATTTCATGGAAGGTTTTGGAACATCCTCGGTTGCAGGGCGGGAAACCTCTGCAACTATTGAGGGAGGTGACGGGAGCTGCGCCGCCCACTCCCAGGTGTGGATGGTGGAGACACAGGAGAAGCCTAAGCTGGCCAGGTAGAGGCTGATGAGGGCAGGAGCCACAGGAGCCCAAGGTGGGATCCCCAGGGGAGGATGGGGCTGGATGCCATTGGCATTAGGCTGAGCTGACCCCATACTCCCGGACTGGGCGGGCACCTCCTCTCTAGCCTGCACTCCCTCCTGCCAACATTGGCCATGGCCTGTGTATCAACAGCAAATTGGGTTTATTTATTTATTTTGTACGGGATTGAGCCCAAGGATGCTTCACCACTGAGCCACATCCCCAGCCCATTTTATTTTTTATTTTTGGGGTACCACAGATTCAACTCAGGGGCACATCCCCAGCCCTATTTTGTATTTTATTTAGAGACAGGGTCTCACTGAGTTGCTTAGTGCCTCCCTTTTGCTGAGGCTGGCTTTGAACTCGCCATCCTCCTGTCTCTGCCTCCAGAGCCCCTGGGATTACGTAGTGGGCCACTACACTGGCCAGCCTGGTGGGGTTTTTTTTTTTTTTTTTTTTTGAGACATTGTCTCATTAAGTCCTTTAGGGCCTTGCTAAGTTGCAGAAATTGGCCTTGAACTTGTGATCCTCCTGCTTCAGCCTCCTGATTGCTGGGATTATAGGCACGGGCTATAATTTGCCCCCAGCTAGGGAATTGGGCCAAAACAAAACTAAAAACCAAACCAAAGCCGGTGGATGCCTGTGAGCCTGCCTGCTGCCTGACCCATTTCTACATGGAAGGAAACTGGACAAGGAGCCGCCCCCAGAGGATGAGGCCAGATGGTCCCCAGGTGCCTGAGACCCACTTGAGGCAGTGGTTGTAAATTGAAAGGGAGAGCGACCAGCATGCTGTGAGGAACAGGGACCCCTGAAGTTTGCCCAAGTCGTAGGGTTTTAAAGGAAGGGAACAGTGAGCCAGGGGACAGCGTGCTCCTAGAACACCAGGCAGCTGCGGGGACCTGCTGCTCCCTCCGTCTTGGTGCACCTGTTCCGTCCTCCCCTGTCCACCCCAAACTCGGGCAACACCCTTCCAGGGCTCAGAGGGGACGACTGAAGCACATGCTTTGATCAGAGCCAGGGGAATCACGGGAAGCCTAGTGAAGTGCTTTTCCGTGTTCAAAATGCTCTTATAAAAGGTCTCCAAAGTGGCCTGCTTGCTCTCGCGACCCCACGACCCCACGGAGGAATCTGGGTTGCAGAAAGCTCAGGGTCCCCAGGGCCATGGAACTAGCAGGTGACAGAGCTGGGATTTCGACCTGCATCTCTGCACTTCTAACAGCTCCTGGGGCTCTGCCATGCTGCCCTGGTTGTTCTAAATTGCAGAGGAAATGCCTTTTATTAGCACCCTCATGCAAATTTAATTTACATCTCAGTGAGGAGACGACACTTAGGAGCAACGAATCCATTGCAGCTGAAGCCTCCCTCTGCACGGAGCGCACTCTGGAAGTCCATGTCCGCTCAGCCCCATGCAGCAGCCAGCGCTCATGACCCCAGCCTGGGCTCCACCTTGACCTTGGTGATTGCCGAGCTCAGCAGTCGCATCTTTCTTCAACTTGTGGCCATTGGTGGCTTTGTCTAGAGGCTATCTCAGAACCCCAGACTCACCACACTCCTGCCATCTGTGACCCCTGGATGGCTCCCCTGGACTCTGACACCAGCCTGGGTGGAGGTGGAATTCATGGGGCTCCCCTGAACTCTGTCGTGTGTCCTGCTGTCTGCACCCCGAGAGAGCCCCACCACTGAGCGCTCGCCTGCCCTGGCCACCTCCTTCCCTGGCAGCCTCCCTAAGGGACGGTCATGAACAGACATAATTAACGTAATTATTCTAATTGGCATTCTTGGCTTTAGTCACAGAAAAAAAGAAAAATCCCAGAACTAATTTTAATATTCCCTTCAGCTTTGTGGGGGTGGGGGCCAGCGCCGTGCCTGTCTGTGGGAGTTCTCCTGTCAGATCTGTTAATGGGTCACAGACACGGTGGGAAGTTGTCCCTGACCCCTGGGAGGGACATTCCTTGTCCAGACACTCTCTTCCCACTTCCGTGACAGCACCAGGGCTTCCCGTTATGTGGCCTGGGTTCCTCCCGAGTACCACGCTCCCAAATTCATCTGGACCAGTTCTGGCCAGGGACAGTGAGTCCCGGGGCTTTTGCTTGGATCTCTGGGAAGTGGCACTCTCTGGTGGAGTGGGGACACCAGGAGGATGGGATCTTAGGGGCGTGCCTGGAAGTGGAGCGTCACCAAAGAGAACGGTCACGACAGAAGGTTTGCAGTGAGATCCTCTTGGCCCCATTTGGGCTCCTGGATCCAGCTTCACCTGAACTTGACCTGCCTCCCCGATTCCCTCAGCTAACTTGCCGCCTGTCCCTGGCCACCCAGTGAGTCCTGCCTGATGGAAAGAACGTGTGCGTGGGGTCCCTGATACCAAATGAGTGGCCTCCCTGGCACAAACCGGAAACAGTCTGGGTCCCCAGGGCCTCACCTGCTCCAGCAGCTGCTGCTGCCTGGCGGCGGCCTCCAGCGCGGCCAGCTCCTTGAGGCGGGCTCGGAGGTGGGCCAGCTTGCCGCCCTTGCCCCCTTTGCCGCCCATCTTCCCTGCTGCAGCGAGGGCCGCGTTGAAGAGCTTCGGGGTCCCGGCCCGCGGGGGCAGGATGAGCACGCTCTTCTCCTTGGGCTTGTTGTTGTTCCTCAGCATGCGCCTGAAAGAGAGCCGCTGCTGCCTCAGGAGCACCCTGGGGCGGGAGTGGCGCCTCCTCTGTGCGGTCCCTCTGGGTCCGAGCTCTGTGCTGGTGGTGGGGGTGGCTGATGGCTTGGGGGCGCCTTTTCTGAGCCAAGCACAGGGCTCAGTGTGAACGCACAGGCAGACCTCCTTGAAGGATCAGAACATCCACCATGAGGTGGGTCTTCTGGATGCAGAGGTCCTGATGGACGCCGGAGCTCAGAGAGGTTAAATAGCTCATCTTTGGTCACACGGGACTCACTAAAGGGCAGCGGTATGGTGTGGACATGGTTTGAGTGTGTCCCCCAAGGAACCACGTGTTGGGCTCTCATTTGGGAGAGTTGGGAGGTGGGGGGACCTTGAAGAGGGGGTGCCTGGGTATAGTGATGAGGTCACTGGGGAACGATGTCGTGGGTCCCAGAGGGTTGTCATACAAGGGGGAGCGTGGCTGTCCTCCTCTCTCTGGCTTCCTGTCTTAGGTGGGGTCTTTCTCCAACGTCCTCCCATCATGACGGCGTCTGCTGTGGGGTCCTCACAGAGCCAAGCCCATAGCCAGCCCCGAGCCCCTGCCCTTGACCTGCAGCCTGGGGCCAAACACACCTCCTTTCTGTATCCCGTGCCCCCCCACCCCCCAGGTATTGCTTTTCCTCTGGGCAGTGCCGAGGGCAGACCAGGGCCCCAGCTGTGCTGGGCAAGGGCTCTTCCACCCACCCGCCCCCAGCCCCCCCAGCCCGGGGATTCTCACAGCAACAGGAAACAGACCCTGGGGCCTGAGTGCCGAGGGGCTGGGCCCTGTGCTGCCCTTCACAGCACTCTGGGTCCCCAGCCCCCCTGCCTGGTGCTCACCCCTCTGTGGGGTCCTCACCCCGGAGGACCAGGGAGACCTGCAGCTCTTACAAGATCCACACACCACCATGTGCCGGTGCCACCCAGGACTGCAGTCTTGCAAGGAGACCCCCCCACTGGCTCTGATGAAGCCACATTTGGGGACCCTGCAGGGAACCGCTGGCCAACAGCTAGCTAGGCACAGAAGCACCCCATCCTGCAGCCCCAAGGATCTGAATTCAGCCAACGACCACGTGATCTTGGAATCAGGTCCTCCCCCATGAAGACTTGAAATGCAACCTTGCCCTGGCTGTCACCCTGATGACAGGTCCAGATAAGCCATCCCCAAAGGAGGATGCAGATGTCCAGAGTGGGTGAGTAACTTTCCCGAGGCCACACAGCCAGGAAGCCACAGAGCTAGAATTCAAACCCACCGTGGGGGGAGCACAGGTCCAAGGTGGCTCGGAAGTGGCAGAGGCAGAATCCCAGTCCGGATCGAGTGCCCTGTGCCACCCTGTTTCTCTAAGCGAGGATAGAATTTTCCATCAAACACAGCCCCCGCCTTTTACAAGACATTTTTCCTGCCCCGAGTCTGTGCTGAGTGGTTTAGCTCAGGAACAAATGGACGTCGCCTGCCACCTAGCTGGCCCAGACGACCAGCCGGCAAGTGTACTCATCAGCATTCCGGCGCCACTTGTTTGTTTAAATATGAGGCCATTCCCCGCGGCTCCTCTAATCAGAGGCCGCGGGTCTAATTGTGGGTGTTGATATTAATTGCCCAAGATTTGCATGTTCTCACTGGGCTCCCCCCGGAGGACACAAACATGGCGATTCGTCAGGGCCTCTTGGAGACCGGCCTGGCACCGTCCCCTGGGTGATTGAGTCCATATTCATGGCTCGGCAGTCCACAGGAGGGACACAAAGGCGCTCTCCATAGGACTTTTGCCAATTGCCAGTGGCTGGCCCTGTTCTGAAACATCATGCTGGCCTTGGGGACGTTCCAGAGTGAGGACATCTGTCCTCATCTTCAGTGGATGAGCTTCCCGTTCACGAGGGAGAGGCACTGCCCTGGGAAAGGGCCCGAGCACACCTTTCAGCCCCTGACTTGGAGTGGCCAGGCCAGGACCGTGGGCGCCCCACTTCCTTAGGGCCTCGGGCCCCCTTCTGTGAAGTGGGGTCTCAGACAGAATCCCCTGAGTGGACCTCGTCAACTCAGGTGTCTGTGGGTCTCAGTCTCTCCTTTGATGGGCAGAGTCATCTCCCAGTTCTCCAAGCTGGCCTGTCCCAAGGCAGGGGACAGCCACTCTGAGGGATTGGGATGCCCTGGTCTCATCCCGCTCCCTTCCTCTGCCACACCGCAGTCTGGGAGGGTCTTGGGGACACTGTAGGGAACAGGGACCCCATGGCCCTGGCGAGGGCCCTCCTGATCCCCAATAGTTTGCCTTCCCCCCCAGAGGGACAGGGAGCCAGCTGTGGCCCTGAGACGTGCTCCTCTGCAGGGGGAGGGGCAGGGAGACAGCGCGGGGGCCGCGGAGGCCGTTTTCAGACCTGGACGGTAGAATTGCACGATTTGCGAGAATCCTGTTCGATAAGGTGTCTGCGGACCCTGAACCAGCAAATACGAAACCAATGCTCCCGGCAAACACAGGTGAGGCCCCGGAACCTCTCACCACAGCGTTGTCAACCGCCAGTCCACGGCCTCCCTTACGAATGACATTGGCCTCGTCAGTGCTGACCACAGCCCGCGGTGCCGGGCTCCGACCTGAGCGAAGCTCATCACACCTACTTTCTGTGCAGGCGCACGGCAGCCTTCCCGTGCTTAGGAACACAACAGTGGCACTTTGGCCCTGTGCTGGGGGACCATTTTAAACAGCAAAGCCACCAACAAAGAGCACGAACACAATTTTAAAAGTGTGGCCCTGAAATGACCACAGATCTCAAATGTTCCCCAAAGGCCCAGGTGCTCAAGGCCTGGGCACCAGCCTGCGGTGCTATTGGAGGTGGTGGACCCCTGAGGAGGCGGGGCCTAGGGGAAGGAAGTTAGGTTATTGGGGGTGTGGCCTTGAAGAGGCAGGGGAGCCCTTCCCCTTTCTCTGTCTGTCTACCTGTCTGTCTGCGTCCAGGCTGCCGTGAGGTGGGCGGCTTGGCTCTACCACACAGCCACAGTGTTCTGCCTCAGCACAGGCCCAAAGCCACCGGGCCAGGGGACCACGGACTGGACCCTCTGAAACCATGAGCCAAAATAAGTCCTTGCTCCTCACGGGTAGCTCATCCCAGGTGTTTTGTCACAGGGCTGAGCGCCAACAGGGAGGCAGAGGGTCCCCTCATCTGACTTCAGCTGGGAACATGCATTTTGAATGACGCAAATTTTTGGTCACTCTGGGCATGTCCTGACTGAAGCCCGTGAGCGCCAATCTTGGGGTATCTAGGAGATGAGTGAGCGGAGAATGTAGAGTGGAAATCGTTGAGAATGAGGATCTCCTCCACTTCTCTGGCCCCGGGAGAGGAGGAGCTGGTTTTTGTACACCTGCTATGACAGGGACAGTGGGCAGATCAGGTCAGGAAAGTTCTGGTAGACTGGCCCATGGCAGGGCCCAGGTGGGCTTCCTGAGAGCAGCCAGATATGCTGAGTTACAGGCAGCTCCCTTCCCCAGGGGTCTCGGCGCCAGGTGCATGTGACGCTTCAGTAGCAGCCTGCCTCCTTTCACCTTGAAGCTGCCAAAGGAATCCTGTAAACACCTGTCACATCAAGCGACTGCTGTATGTAAGCTTGTACAGCTCCTGTCTTCCTCAGAGTAAAAGCCAAAGCCATTGCCAAGTCATTGCCTACAAGGGCCCACACAATCTCTTTCCCTCCATTTCTCTGATCCCACATCAAGCGACACCCATTTTCCTGCTGTTTCTCTGCACACACACGGAGGTTGCTCCACCTCAGGGCCTTTGCACATGCCATTCCTCCTGCCTGGAATGTTTTACCCTGCGGAAAACACTCCCAGCTCCCCTCTTCCCTCTGTGCAAGTCTTGGTTGAAATGCCGCCTCCTGAGACTCGTGTCCCCGGCCCAGCTTGTCTCAAATAGCCCCTTCCATCTCCGCTGTCTCTACACATGGCCTTTATTTTCTCATGGCTCCTACCACAGCTGACACCTCCCAGAGCCACCCATTTTTCCATTGTCAGTCGCCCTGAGTAGAATGTGAGCTTTGGTCCCTGCTGTGTCCCCAGGGCCTAGAACTCTGAGCTCAATAAATTTTTGAGCTGGATGAATGGTTGTTGGTGACTTGTTCCCTTCCTCTGACCTCTCTGTGCTGTTCCTCGATGGCTTTTTCCAAATGAAAAACTTTAGGGAGGATTCAATGGGTAGAAAGGGGAACTCGAGGATCATCATCATGAAGCGAGCACCTGCCAGGCACCCCACGGAGATGTTCTTGGCCCCTGGTTTATTGAATCTTCACAACGACAAAGTCAGGGGTGGTCACCCTTATTTTACAGAGGCAAAAACCGAGACCAGAAAAGTTTAGCAACTTTCCTAAAGAAACACAGCCAGTAACTCACATGGAAGGGAGTTGAGCCTCACTGGACTCCCAAGTCTATTCTGGGCTTTCTACCACGGGGTACTGCCTCTGCTGCTCAGTTTGAAGCCCAGTCTTAAGGATCTGAAAGCAAAGCCCTGCTTTGCTAAAAAATAAAAATAAAAAATTTATAAATTACCTATTTTCCAATAATATAAAATACAGGTGCACAAGGTCATGGGTTGCAAAACACTGGAAATACCCTCAGTGCACACTCATAGGAATGTCGTGCAAAACGCTGAAGGGAATGAGGAAGCCGTCCGTGCACCGAGAAAGCAGCTCCCAGGATATTTTGTCAAGGGGGACAAGCCAGGTGCAGAAAGAATCTATGGTATGCTGCCTCTGCACAACAGGGAAGGGAAAATGAGAACACAGCCGTGGATCTGCCTACCTGTTGCAAAAGTCAACACAGGAATGAAATGCAGAAACCAATGAGCTGGCCACTCCCAGGGGTAGGTGGCCGTGGGGACACTTGTCTGGGCATACAGTTTTGTAGAATGTGGAATTTTGGAAATTTAGCAAGGAACAGCCAGTAGATGCTAAAGGTAAGAGATGAAAGTTTTATGAGCAGGTGCGTGCCGCACGCCTGGAATCCCAGCAGCTCAGGAGGCTGAGGCAGGAGGATCGCGAGTCCAAAGCCAGCCTCAGCTACTTAGCCAGGCCCTGAGCCACTCAGCGAGACCCTGTCTCTAAATAAAATATTAAAAGGGCTGGGGATGTGGCTCAGTGGTTAAGCACCCCTGGGTTCCTTCCCTGGTACCAAAAATAAAAAGTTCTAAGGGGAGTGGGACACCTGAATGGTCCTCCAGTCACTGCCCCGTAGTGACTTATTAATTACAAAGAGAAAAACACTAACAGTAGCGTAGAACTTGACCCCGAGATTGAATTAAAAACCATCCGACCAGCCCCGTGTGCCCCTAATGAGATCACTGAGACAGACACAGGGTCACTCCTGCCCTAGATCTGAACCTGAGGGTCATCACAAGAAGAAATCAGGGGAACCCAGACCTAGGACAGTGCAATTCCAAGAAATCAAAGTCAGCAACGAGAGAAGCCAGCTGACGAGCGGTTCTAGATCCAAGGAGACAAAGGACACGTGGCGACCCCATGTGACGTGTGACCCTGGGTCTGATCCAGGAAGGAACAGAAGCCAAGCCAAGCCAAAAGAGACGCCCCTGGGATGATTAGCAAGATCTGAACCTGGGTCCCAGGTGGATAAGGGTGCTGTTTCCATGTTAAACGTCCTGATTTTGGTAAAGGTATCGGGGTTAGGTCTTTTTTTTTTTTTAAATGAAAAACAAAACAAGTAAATTGTGTACCTGGCCTTCTTCCGGAGTAACTTCTGAGATTCAGGATAATGCACCAAAATTTCGTTCAAGTCCTTCTTATCCAAAATGAAGAGGTTGGTGAAGCCGTGGGCCACCACGTTGGCCGTGCGCCGATTCCCGCCCCCGATGGCCAGCAGGCTGGGTGGAGAGGGGAGGAGGTGAGAGCCCTTCCCAGGCTGGCGGAGTCTGGGGTTCTGTGTCTTGAGGTGGGGTCTTGCTATGGCCCAGGCTGGTCTTGCACCCCTGGGCCCAAGCCTCGCAGGCGGCTGGGACCAGAGGTGCGCACCTTCCCGCCCACGATCGTGGCTGTGGTCACCATCAACGGTGCATCCCCCGCTGCGTGGGGCACGACGGTGACCCCACCGACTTGAGAGCCCAGACGCAGCCTGCAAGTGCCAGCAGGTGCCCGTGCTGTGCCCACCCGGTCTCCCAAGATCCACCGCGGCCCCTGCCCCCAACCTTTGCCCGGAGCCTCCCACTCGCCCCAGTTCCCTCCTGACCTTATCTCTCCAAACACGGATCCAGCTTTCAGGGTCACCAGCACGGACTTCCCGTCAGGGCCCCCCAGGACCTGCACCTGCCCCGCCTGGATGATGTACATCTCCCGGCCGATCTCCCCCTGAAACAGACCGCGCAGAGTCCTTCCGTCCCCCTCAGAGCAAGCAGGGAAGAGGCGAGGGCTGGGCCCCGAGGCTGGTGGCCCAGGGAGGAGGCACCAAGACTGAGCGCGTGGGGCCAATCACGTCCCACGGGGGCCTCAGACTCCTCATCTGTGGACTGGGGAGGCCAGCGCGCCCTGCCTGCCCGACGGATGGCCTCACGAGGGGAGGGTCAGCAGCGTCACAGGAGAGAAAAACCAGCCACGTGCCAGGTGCTGGCGTAAGGGTCTCCTGCAGTTCCCAGCTCTACCCGGCAATGGGGGTGTGGCACATGGGACGGTGGCCAGGACAGTGGCCCAGGCTGTGAGTGACTCTCCAGGCCCAGCACCTACCAGGTGTTTGCTAACTCAGGCACAACCAAGCCCCGCGGGTCCATGACGCTTTGCGGTGCCAGCCCTGGTCTGAGTGCCCTACGCACCTGTACCTTCAGGAGGCTCTACGCCCCTGGAGGCAGGACTGAGCTTTTCTCAAGGTCATAAAGCAAGGTCGAGGCAGAGCCAGGATGGGATCCAGCTGGTTCCAGAGTTCGTAGTTTTCATGGTTGTTATGGGTTGAATTCCCCACCCCGCCCCCATTATCTGTCCCAATTGTAATCTCCAGTGGTTTAAAGTGTGACCGTATCTGGCCATAGGCTCCCCATAGGTGTAATTCAATTAAGATGAGGCTGTACTGGAGTCGGGTGGGTGCTGGGTGCCCTATCCAATCTGACTGGCATCCTTACACAAAGGGAAACTGGGGCCGGGCACGGTGGCACACGCCTGTCATCCCAGTGACTAAGGAGGCTGAGGCAGGAGGATCGCAAGCTTGAGGCCAGCCTCAGCAACTAAAAGGTCCTAAGCAACTGAGGGAGACCCTGTCTCAAAATAAAAAGTAAAAAGGGCTGGGGATGTGGCCCTGTGGTTAAGCGCCCTTGGGTTCAATTCCCAGCACCTGCCCCATCCCCCAAAAAAGGGGAACTGGACACAGACAGGCACAGAGGAGAGATGACATGAAGGGACTCAGAAGAAGGTCATCAGGAAGCCAACCAAAGAGGCCTGCCACCTGTCCGTCATGCCTGGCATATTTGAAATGGGGAGAGGCCAAGGACAGGAACCCGTGACACTTAAGATTTGTTCACCCAGTTTCCTGCGCGTCTCACTCCGTGACCCTCTTCGAGAAAGAGGGAGGTAGTGGGCCTCCCTGTTTCCACGTTCAGTCTGTCATGGGGCCAAAGTGTGAGGGCCACCAAGCCCCCCCCCCTCTGGCAGACGGCCCCTGGAGAGTGTCGCTGAGCAAAACCGCCAGCAGAGGGCGCCACTCACGGGGCTGGGAACGGCCGACTCCCAACACCTTCTGCCGTCCTCTACCTCTGCCAACTGCGGTCCCCAGGCAGATAATAGCCACGGCAATTGTCATTGCTCTGTGCCAGGCACGGTGCCAAGCCATGGGCTCATATTTCTCCTCCCAGCCCACCCCCATACGGAGGCACTACCAATGGCCCCTCGTCGCCCAGCAGAACAGGAAGGGCGGACGCTGGCTCAGGCTGCACAGGGAGGGCAGGGCTCCGGTGTCAGGGACATCACTTGATTGTTCCCAGATCCCTCCCGGGGAACTCTGAATCTCAGCCTCCTGCAGCAGTTTTTCCTTCCTGTCCCCCAGCTCTCTGCTTCCAGAAACTTCACCACTGCCCAGGATGCTACCTCGTGAGGGGGTCTTCTTGGGCTGGGGGCTCCCAGATCTTACAGGCAACATGTTCACCCCATACACATCGCCAGCTTCGTCACCAGCTCTGTGCAAGAGGACTAACCCTGGGTACTGTCCCCTCCCCAGTTGACCTTGGTGTCACCTTAAATGCCAAAGACAGGGAGCAGAGGGGGCACCTGGCACTGTCAAGTTCAGGGATCAAACCCATACGTTCTCTGGGCTCGGGTGGGTGATGTGAAGACAGTCACCCCCTCCCCTCCCATTTTCCTGATAGAAAGACCGAGGCACTGGAAGCAGTTCCATCCGCATGGTGAGGCCCCTGGGTTCCCTTTTCTACAAGGCGGGAATCCTCATCCTGTGCCCTGGTCTCAGGCCAGGGAGGGATGGGAACGCGGATGGGAACGCTTTGCGAATCCTGGGGCACCTCCGTGCACGTCCACTGCCTGGGGCTGGGTACACTGACCCCAGGTCAGCTGGGCTCTAGTGCAGGGGCTAAAGTGGCCCGGGGCTTGCAAACGTCTCTGGGCCATCAGGATTGCACTGCAGCCGGTGCCCCGGAGGGCGGGCGGCTGTGCAGACCCCGGCCGCTCACCTTCTTGCACACGTAGTCGTTGGGCAGGTACACGACAGAGCGCAGCCTCTTCAGCATGTCAAAGATCATCTGCCGGTCACAGCCCTGCCCAGGGAAGGGGGAAAGGAGGCCCACTGAGCGGAGGTCTTGGGCTTGAGTCCCTCCAGAGGCCCCAGGGAGAGGGCACTGGCGGGGTACCTGGAAGAGCGCCACCTTGCTGACGATGTCGTAGTTCACGTCGATGGCGAGGTCCAGCCGCATCTTGTCTGGAAGCTGCACCATCAGCTCTGACTCATCTGTGAACGAGACCTGGCAAGGGTCGGAGGCGAGGCCAGCCCCGCCCCACGCAGGCCCTGGCCGAGACCCCTGCTCTGGCTCACTCAGCCCACCTTCCCCTGAAGCGCAAACCACTCTTGAAAGACCCTGAAAGCTTCTCCTGTGGCCTCCAGGCCTTTACCAAACCTGTGCCAGGAACGCAGGTTCCCTAACGAACTCCTATTCACCCTTCAAAACCCAGCACTAACGTCACCTCCTTCAGGAAGCCTCCCCTGAACATCACCCCCACCCCCAGATTCTGTGTCCCTGTGCTACAGGACCTGTCACGCCCTTGACTGCAATGCTGTGTGAGCTGCTTTCCCAGTCGCCCTAGAAGGACAGGAGCAAGCGCTGACCAGGTACCAGGTGTTTACAGGAGGTTTGTACAAAGAGTATTTTACTCAATTGTCCCAGCAACCCAAGAGGGTCCACTGCTGTGATCAGGAAAGGGCAGAGGCTTTGCCAGGGCTGTGCAGACAGGGCACAGAGGCAGGATCCCTCCCAGGCTGGGTGGCCCAGAGCCGCCTGCCCCAGGAGGGCAGGGGCGGGGTCTGCAGTGCACACCCAGCGGAGGAAAGAGAGAGAGGAAGGAGGGAGCAGGCGGAGGAGGGCTTCCTCTTTCCTGATTTAAACTGTGCTGAACCTTTGACGGGGCTGTGCCTGCTGGGGGGTGAGGTGAGGAGACACCGGTGCCAGAGACAAGACCCTGGGTCTTTGGGGGTCCCGGGGCAGCCAGCTGGAGGTACCCAGAGGCCTCAGGAGGCCCCTCTCTCAACATCGCAGCCCAGAGAGGCCCGGCTGGAGACCAGGGCGAGGGCAGCATCTGGGAAGCCCGGTGCCAGGTGGCAGGGGTTGGCTGGGGAGCTGCCCGCCCCCTTGCAGGCCAGTCTTACCCAGCATGCCTTGCGAGTGCCAGGTGTACTCGTACCAGGTCTTGACCCGGTTCTGCACGGACCTGGGGATCCTGTAGAAGTTCATGTACTTCACGGTGCTGTCCATGCAGCTGCGGTAGTAGGTCTGTCCCGCCGTGGCGGCCCCCACCACGTCTCTCATCTGGGGGAGAGGGCAGGGGAGTCAGGGAGCTGCAGGGTGGTGGGGAGGGGTGGCTTCTCACAGCCCGGGGCTCTTTCTCAGGCTCAGTCCCAGGGCAACTGGCAAGGAGAGCAGGGCTTCTGGAAGCAGTCGGGGGAGGGGCCTGCAGGTGTGGGGGGGACTGCAGGCTGGGGTCCCCGCTACCTGTCCAATCATCACGGAGAAAGCGAAGACCCCCGTGAAATAATTGAGGAGCTGGAAGACAATTTCAAAGAGGGTCTGGGGGTCGGGCAGCCCCCCGATGGTGATGAGGGTCTTCACGGCCCAGTAGTAGCAGCGGACGTAACTGGAGGGAGAAGAGAAAAAGGCCTGTGGTCACCACAGGACCCTCCCTGCTGGCCTTGGGCAGCCCAGTCCAGGTATTTCTGAGAGATGTCACTGTGCACACGAGGGAAACTCGCCCCCCACCCAGGCAGGGGACATTCTGGTCTCCAAAGCAGGTTCATGGGTGCTGTCTGGGTTGGCTGTGGCTCTGTCCCTTCCTTGCATGTTGTCATGCCCCTGTACAGACCTGGAGACCCAGGCTGCAGGGTGTCTAGGAAAGGCTGTCGGGAGGAAGGACAGCCCCGGTGACTGCGTTCCTTCAGCCTCCTTCAATGTCCTTCAATCTCCACACTCTTGTCCTTTGTCAACCCCTGTCAGGCTGATTTCCAAAAAGTGGGTGCAACAACCAGGTAGGTGGGGAGACAGGGTGGCCCTTGGAGCTGCAGGTTTTACATCTGCAGACTCAACCCGCCTCCGATGGAAGATAATCAGAAAAAAAAAAAAAAAAACCGTGTATCGGACACGTACAGACTTCTTTCCTCATTGTTATTCTCTAAACAACACTGCGCACCACCGTAGAGCTTTGTGTGAGGTGTGATCAGTCATCTAGAGACTTAAAGCACACAGGGGGATGCGCCGGGGGACATGCCACCGCTGCACTCTCTTGTAGAGGGCACCTGAGCGTCCTTGGATTCTGGCATCCTCAGGGGTCCTGGGGCCAAGCTCCTGCGGGTTCATAGGAACAACTGTGTCTCCATGACGACTTTTCTGACCCTCCCCCTCCCCTCCCATTTTTCCAGAGTGACCATGAGGCCCCCAAAGGGAAAGGGAGCACCCACTGGGCAGTCCCAGAACAGGGACGAGAACCAGGGTGCCGTCTGTCTGGCTGTCAATCATCCATCATCAGGTAACCCCTGGCAGACGCCCATGACACGTCAGGAAGGGAGGTGTGGGCGACGGGGTCCTACTGTGAGATAAAAGGCACAGAAGATGCCCCGAGCTTGTGTGGTTATCACAGAGCAGCAAGAGATCACACACAGGTCTGTACCCTCAGGTTGAGCCCCGCTGAAGTCAGCCACGAAGGAGGCCCGCCGAGCCTGGAGATGGGCTGTCGGGCCAGCTGCCCAGGGCCTCCCTGGGCTCTGCTGACCAGCTCTGCCGGCAGCCCTGCAGCTGCAACATGGGATCCGGGGCCAGGCCACCTGGGCTGAGAGCCACTTTCCAGCTACAGAACTTGCGGATTTTAAAGATTTCTCTAAGGTTTAGTCTCCTCCTCCATAAAATGGGGGTGGCAAGGGGACATCCTTCACAGGCCACCATGAGAATGAAATGAGGTGCCAGAAGAGTGCCTGGCACAGGCGGGTTCTCAGCCAATCAGTGGTTAAGACCTTCATGCGGCCAGTGCCTGCCACGGGTCTGCAGGGGGGAAGGGACAGCCTGGCCTGGGTCCTCAGGAGGTTCCCCTCCAGCGGGGACAGCAAGAAATGGGCACTGAGTGCTGGGAGGAGGGCGCAGAGGTTGCAGGGAGTGAGGTGGGGGCTCTGCCTCTGACTAGCTGCCTTGGCCTTTCTGAACCTCATTTTCACCTGTGGCCTGGACGTCTAGGGCAGCACCAGGAAGCTTGCCCTGGTCACGCCCCTGTCATACCGGTTCTGGCCACCAGAGGGCTGTGGAGCACCTTTAGTGACTGAGCAGCTCTCAACCCTGGGGACCAACCAGGCTGGGGGAGACCTGGGTGTGCATTAGCTGGGCCACCAACAGAGAGGACAGTGCCCACAGAGCTCCCGCTTTCTCCCAGTGCTTCCCAGTTAGAGGCATCTTAATTGGCACAGCACATCTAGGGACAAAGTCCTCCTGTCTTCCCTGCTAGTGGGTCTGTGGGACCCTCCCTTTGTGCCCAGGCTGGGCAGAACCAGAGCAGGAGAGCCCTGGACAGGGTGAAGGACCAGCACATGCAGGAACTCGGGTGCCCTTCCTGCTTTCCATCCCTGCCCAAGGCTGCCAGCCCCAGAGAGGTGGATTCTTAGCTCAGTGGGGCGTGAGTCCTCTGGGATTGGAGGAAACTCCTCTGGAGTGAAATTAACGTATTCTCAAGATTTAGCTTCAGTTTCCAGGAGGGTAGAAGCACTGACCTAAGGTTATGAACCCCTTTACTGGCATGTTGGCTTCCCCAGAATAATAGCTATAGCTAGGAAGGGGACAATGATCAGTGTCCAGGCCTGAGCTGCATTGGCTTATTATTTCTCTCCAGAATCCTGAAGGTGAGACTAGGGTCATTTTGTAGATAAGAAAGCTGAGTCTCACGTTGACAAATTTCTACACCCATATGACCTGCCCAAAGCAAACCAGGAAGATGTGGAAAACCTCAACAGACCAATGTCAAGTCAAATGAAACTGAAACAGCACTTAAAAGTCTTCCAACAAAGAAAAGCCCAAGACCAGATGGATTCTCAGCTGAATTGTACCAGACCTTTAAAGAAGAACTAACACCAGTCTTTCTCAAAGTATTCCATGAAATTGAAAGGGAGAAAACACTTCCAAATACAATCTTTAAAGCCTGTATAATCCTGATACCAAAACCAGACAAAGACACATCCGGGAAAGAAAACTACAGATCGATATCACTGACAAACATAAATGCAAAAAATCCTTAATGAAATGTTAGCAAACTGCACTCAAAAACACTTCAAAAAGGTATCACATCACGATCAAGTGAGTTTCACCCCAGGGATGCAAGGTTGGTTCAACGTAAATGAATCAATAAATATAATTCATCAGTAAATGGCATAATGACCCAGGATCACATGAGCATCTCAATCGTTGCAGAAAAGACCTTTGATAACATCCAGCACCCGTTCATGTTAAAAACACGGGGAGAAACTAGGGCTGGAAGGAACTTACCTCTACATGATAAAGGCTGAATACGACAAACCCCAAACCAACGTCACACTGAAGGGAGAAAACCTGAAAGCATTTCCTCTGTGATCAGAAATGAGAGAAGGATGTCCACTCTCTCCACTTCTATTCAATATGGTTCTCGGAACTTTAGCCGGAGCAACCAGGCAAGAGGAGGAAATCAAAGGGATAAAAACAGAAAAAGAAGAAGTCAAATTATCTCTACCTCCTGATGACATGATTCTATGCCTAGAAGACCCCAAAACCTTACCAGAAGACATTTGGAACTGATGGGTGAATTTAGCAAAATATCAGGCAAGATCAACATTCATAAATCAATAGCTTTCCTATACTCCAACAGGGATTCTGCTGAGAAAGAAATCAGGAAAGCCATCCTATTCACAATAACAAAAAAAGGTTGGCCATTAATCTAATCAAGGAGGTGCAAGATATCTACAATGAAAATTATAGAACACTGAAGAAAAAATCGAAGAAGACTTTAGAAAATGGAAAGACCTCCCATGTTCATAATATTGTCAAAACAGCCGTGCTACCAAAAGTAATATTCAGATTCCACGCAACCCCCATTAAAATACCAATGATATTTTTCACAGAACTAGAAAAGACAGTCCTAAAATTTATTTGTAAGAACAAGAAGCCCAGAATAGCTTAGGCAATCCTATTTTTTTTTTTTTTAGTGGGGGGTACCTGGGATTGAACTCAGGGGCACTCCACCACTGAGCCACATCCCCAGCGCTATTTTGTATTTTATTTAGAGACAGGATCTCACTGAGTTGCTGAGGCTGGCTTTGAACTTGCAATCCTCCTGCCTCAGCCTCCCCAGCTGCTGGGATGACAGGCGGGCACCATCACGCCTGGCAGCCAAGGCAATCCTGAGCAAGGAGAGCGATCGATCCTAGAGGCCTCACAATACCTGATCTAAAATCACACTCCAGAGCTGTGGTAACAAAAACAGCTTGGTACTGGCATCAAAACAGACATGGAGACCAATGGAATAGAAAGAGAGACACCAAGACCAACCCACATGCTCACAGCCACGGTATTTGACAAAGGTGTCAAAACTATATGTTGGAGAAAAGACAGCCTTTTTAACAAATGGTGCTGGGAAAACTGAATATCCTGTATGTAGAATGAAATTAGATCCCTGTCCCTGTACAAAAGTCAAATCAAAGTGGGCTACAGACTTTGGAATTAGACCCAAACTTTGCAAGTGCTAGAGGAAAGCATCGCTCAATACTCCAATGCACTGGGACGGGCACCCACTTCCTCAGCAAGACCCCTGAAGCTCAAAGAAATCAGTCCAAGAATCAGCAAGCAGGATGCCGTCAAATTAAAAAGCGTCCATACAGCAAAGGAAACAATTAAGAGTGTGGAGAGAGAGAGCTGCAGGGGGGGGGGGAGAAGATCTCTGCCACCTGCTCCTCCAACAGGGAGTTAATATCCAGAACATGTAAAGAACTCAAAAAAATATAACCCGGAAACAAACAAACATGCAAATCACCCGATCAATCAGTGGGGAAAAGAACTAAAGAGACATTTCCCAAAAGAGAAAACACAAATGGTCAACAAATACATGAAAAAAAAAAATGTTCAACATCTCTAGCCATCAGGGGAATGCAAATCAAAACTCCACTAAGAGTTCATCTCGCTGCAGCCAAAACGGCAATTATCAAGAATACGAATAATAACGCATGCTGGCGAGAATGTGGGGGAAAGGGTACACTCATACAGTGTTGGCGGGATCTCAGACTAGTACCATCACTCTGGAAAGCAGTATGGAGATCCCTCAAAAAAACTAGGAACGGAACCACCATACAGCCCAGCTATCCCGATCCCCAGGATTTATCCAAAAGATCTAAAATCAGTGTATGATAGCAACACAGCCACTCCGATGTTTGCTGCAGCCCAATTTACAATAGCCTAAGCACGAAATCAATCCAGATACCCACCAACAGAGGAACGGATTAAGAAAATGTGGTAAATACTCACAACGGACTTTTACTCAGCCATAAAGAAGAATAAAATCATGGCCTTTGCTGGTAAATGAATGAAAAGGGAGAACATGGTGCCAAAGTGAAATAAGCCGGACTCAGAAAATGAAGGGTCAAATGTTTTTTTTTTCTCCGATATGTGGAAGCTTGAGCAGAACTAGGACAAGAAGGTGGGGGTGGGTGGGAGGACAGGATAGTGTGAAGACAGAGGGTAGGTGGGTGGAGCTGGAGACTGAGAGAGGAGAGAGGGACGGAAACGGGAAGAAATATGGTGAATCTAACAGAATCACGTTACATGCATACGTAAATGTGCCACAGGGAGCTTCACCTTTCTGCATATGTAGAAAGCACCAACTGAAAATAAATAAATAAAATGGGTGACAGGGAGGCCAGCTGAACCAGGAGGAGGGGGCGGGAGGAGCGGAGGGAAAAGAGAACAGGGTCCATCAAATCCCACACACGTATGAGTTTGTCAAAAGGAACCCGACCTCTACTAATAACTATGACGCTCTAATTAAAAAACAAAAACAAAAAAACGAAACACTGAGTCTCAGAAGGGGCAAGGCCTTGCCCAAGGTCACAGGGCTAGATTAGCGGCAGAACTTGAATTCTTCCCTTTGTATAGAGGGTCCTCTCTGCCCGCTGGTGAGGGCCTGGCTGATGAGTGAATGGGTGAATGGCCTGGTCATGGGCTCAGGACAGGCTGGGGACGGGTTCAGCCAAGGGGAGCAGAGAGCAGGACCACAGGGGTATGGGGCACGTGAGCCCTGGCCCCTCCCCACAGAGGGTATCAGAATTTCCCTTGCGCCCACCTGGGCTGCCCCGGACATCTCTAGGGAGGTGTGACCCAGTGGTCATGGCCAGGGTAGTTAAGATTGGGGATCTGTACTGAGGAGAGGGCGGCCTGGATCAATGACCACTCCACAGCTGGAAGCAGGTGCCTGGAGGGGCACCCAGTGTGGAGGGCTGAGCTGTGAGCTTTTCGCATCATGAGAAGCCCCGGGGAGTGCTTGGGTATGCACCAGACCCAGGCTTCATCCCCTGCCCCGTGGGGGAGAAAAGAAGGAAGAAAAGCGAGGCAGTCCATGTACGGGACCGTTCTATGACCCCGAGACCACGCTAAAGAAGTTTATTAGTTTTTATTAATTCAAATAATTGACATTTTTGCACCCTTGGCTATTCCCCTTGCAAGAATTTGAGATGAGGAAACCATCAGGCCAGAGGACAAAGGTGCCCTGCAGCATCACATGGCACATCCACACCGTCGCCACCCTCCGGTCGTTGCCCCTGTCCACAGGGCTGGTGACCCCCGGGAAGCTGTGTTGGGAAGTGTTTTGTGGCCTCGTTCCCAGTGGGCCACGGGGGGTGAGGGGTAGATGGACGGTGTGCTGGCCTGCCCTCCTGGGCTTGGGAAGCTGAGAGGACCCTCCCTGCGGGTCTCGTTCCCATCTGCACCTGTGCCAGCCTACAGCAGGTGCGCAGGAAACTGGCTCAGGAAGACAGGGGACGTGGCCCCTGAACCTCGTCTTAGGAGAGCCATTCCTTAGCAAAGCAGTGGCAGCGGGACTCCTTTCTAGGAGCCTGTATGCTCTGAATGACAAAGACGGAGAATGTCACCCAGGAGGCGGGCTCACCTGTTTCCCACGCCGTCGTACACCCAGTGGGTGGAGCCGATTCCCTGGTAGGACGACGCCCAGTAGTAGAGGCAGGAGTTGAGGTGCAGGCTGTAGAGCAGGTAGGCTGTGGTCCTGATGACCCTGCCCAGGCGGGACACCACCCAGGGTGAGAGCGTGACCCCAGGTGACAGCGTGCTGGTGGCCTCTCGCCACCCCAGGGGCAGCGAGGGGGCTCACCCTCTCCTCCCGCGAAGCCCACTTCACAACTTCCCCCATTGGGACGTGTGGCCCGGCCGTGGTGGACGCCCTGCCATGGGAACAGCTGGGGGCCACACTGGCCCCATGGGGCACTCTTCCGAGGCGGTGGCAGTTAGGAATGGTGGCCCTTGATGGGAACCTTGTCAAGACTCAGGCTGGGACTGGTCCAGGCGGGAAGAGCTACCTGCTGATGAGTTCTGGGGGAGCAGAGGGGACAAAGGGGTCACGTGGCTGTGGGGAGGGCCTGGAGGGGACAGGTGACTGCAGAGAGGTGACCATGAGGCCGAGAGGGCTGAAGAGGAGGGAGGAGCCTGGTTTCCCAGCGTGGCTGGTGACCTCGTGCCCCCCTCCCCGTGCTGCTGAGCGGCTGCGTCCACCTGTGTGGACCCTCGTCCCAAGTCACAATGGGAGGAAATAGGACGTTCCTGACTCTAAACATAAACATCCCTTCAGAGAGGAGGCGGCTGGGCCAGGAAGAGGCCCCGCTTCCTGTGTGCTGAGGCCGGGAGGTCAGGGTGGGACAGGGCAGGCGAGTGGTGAGAACACTCTGTCCTGTGGGTGTGTGTGTGTTTGTGTGTGGAGTGTGCGTGTGTGGAGTGTGCGTGTGTGGAGTGTGCGTGTGTGGAGTGTGCGTGTGTGGAGTGTGCGTGTGTGCGGTATGTGTGTGTGTGTGTGCATGTGTGTGTGGGGGAGTGGTGTAGTGTGTGTGTGGGGGGAGTGCATGTGTGTGTGGTGTGTGTGGTTTGTGGTGTGTGCACACGTGTGTGTGCGTGCATGCGTGTGAGGTGTGTGTGTATGGTGGGGGGGTGTGGTGTGTGTGACATGTGTGTGTGTGGCATGTGTGTTTGTTGTGTGTCCACACGTGTGCATGTGTGCGTGTGTGTGTGCGTGTGCGCGCACGCGGCCCCACCTGTACACGTAGGCCTTGCTGAGGATGGCTTCCAGGCGGTTGTTGAACTCGAAGAAGGCCATGTACTGGGAGCAAGGAGCGGGCGTCAGGGGCAGCCACGCTGCAGGGGCCACGCTGCCCTCAGCTGCCCGCTGCCCGCGGCCCCAGGACTGAGCCCTTCCTCCCGGGGAAGGGGCTGGACAGTGAGTGTCCCAAACCAGAGGGCCCTCGCCCTGGGCCTGGGGGGGCCAGAAACCCCACTAGGAATCATGGCAGCCCTGGGCCCTTGCCGTGGGCGTCACACAGGGTCCTGGTGTCACAGTGGCGTGGAGTGAATTAACGGGGACTCCCAGACCTTCCGACCCCACCGTGAGACTTTCAGGGGTCCACGCATCCCAGGTTAGGGACTCTTTTAAATGTTGACTTTTAAAGGAAATAATCTTATTTTTTAAAAAAATCGTTCCTAACACTTCTTCCTTAGTTCCTTCAAAGGCTTATTTATAGTAGTAAAAGTATAACACTGACTACTTTTTTTTGACGGGGGTTCCTGTGGATTGAGCCCAGGGGCACTCCACCACTGAGCTACATCCCTAGCCCTTTTTATTTTTTGAGACAGGGTCTCACGAAGGTGCCAGGCTGGCCTCAAATTCCAATCCTCCTGTCTCAGCCTCCACGTCATTGGGATTACAGACGTGCACCACTACTCCTTTATGGAGCTCCTGTGATATGATCAGTACCTTATATAACTACCTCCCTCCCTCCCTCCCTCCCTTCCTCCTTCCTTCCTTCCTTCCTTGGTGCTAGGGACGGAGCCCAGCGCCTGACACATGCTAGGCCAGCGCTCTAACACTAAGCCACACCCCCAGCCTTATAATCCTCCTTTGACAGAAAGTTGTTACTCAGTGAAGTCCAATAATGTGACCAAAGCCCATGCTGGGAAGTGAGAGTCAACATTTCTTTTTCTGCTTGTTTTTTTTTTTTTTTTTTTTTTTTAGCTGTAGATGGACACAATACCTTTATTTTACTTATTTATCTTTTCATGTGGTGCTGAGGATCCGACCCAGGGCCTCACGCGAGCTGGGCAAGTGCTCTACCACTGAGCCCCAGCCCCAGCCACAGCCCCAGCCCACATTTGAACTCAGACCCAACCTTCCTCATGCCCATGACTAGCTCTAAAGCAACCTCTGAGCCCCCGGGAGGCTGGAACGAGTCAGATAAGAATGGTGCCAGGTTCAGTTTCCCTCTTCCCCTGGGCAGCCAGGAAGCTCAGAGGCAGCTCCTGGGTGCTGTTTCACCGGGGCTCTTGCCTTCCTCCTAGTGTTCTCTGCCCTTTTTCTCTGGGTTATTGATGTGATCGCATTTCCCTTTTGTGTAAATCCCCCCTAAAAAAGGCACCAGGCATCGTGTAGGGAGAGAGAGGAATTTAAGTGGTTGGCTGGAAAAATTCATCTGGGGATCCCAGGAGCCCTGAGTGGCTGTCTACCCTAGCCACATTAAAGGACAGTTGCCAGGTCTCCAGTATCAGGAAGACCCTCCCTGGGACCCTGCCTCTCCCCAGTGAGTGGCAGGATGAACAACTGGACTGACATTGAGCACCAACCAATGACCAAACGGGTGGTGGGCGGGGCCTTCACACCCATCCCAGCACTTCCTCTCCTGTGACCTTGGGCACGTCACCCAACAGCTCCAAGTGCCAGTCTCCCTGTCTTTTGGGTAGAGCCCATCATAAAGTGGAACCCCACTCTGGACCATCTCTTTAACGTCCGAGGGGACAGACTGCGGATTCCAGCCCCGGCTCTGCTCCGTGCTGTGTGCCCTTGGGCAGGTTCCTTAGGCTCTCTGAGGCTGTCAGCACAGCACCCACATCCAGGGTTGAGGAACCAGGGCCTGGTAAGCCCCTGGATCAATACCTAGCAGCAGTGCCAGCTGGTCACTTTCCATTAAGACATGGGAGGAGTAGGTGCCTGTCCCCTGGGCCACCTACGGGGACACCTCTCCCTTCCCAGGCTCTTGGGGGAAACTTAGGGGGACATTAAGGTGGCAGTGTCTCAGTGCAGAGCACAGAGGCGCTAATTAGACACAGGGGAAGGGCGGCTGCGGGTCTTACCTTTAAGCAGCGGGGCAGGCGGAGGAGGGGGTTCATGCCCAACTTCAAGTAGAGCAAATCCAAGGGCAGGAGGCACAGCAGGTCCATCTGCAATCCCAAGGGCCCCACGGTGCACGGTGAAGGGGGGGCAGGGGAGCGAGGGGGAAGGATGGGGCCTCTACCCTGGAAAGGTGAGGTCAGAACCCCAGGAGGGCCTCAGATGGGGGTAGGAGATATCCCACCAACCGTCCCTGGCTTCGGCCTCCGTGGAAGCACCAGGCGGCTCCCTTACCATGACCATGGCCCCGTGGCTACTGGGAACCAGTGGTAGGGGCTGGCCCCTTGCCAGGTGGCCTCTGAGCGCCACCCAGCCTGAGTGGCCTGGAGGACACTCCATAGGAGATAGTGGCAGCCACGTCCTACGTGTCCCCAGAGCACCGGGCCTGGCGAGGCCCCGCGGGCTCACGGCGGGCAACCTGCACGCACCTTAAATCGGCGGGACCTCAGGTAGTTGTTCCGCATCTCCTTTTTGTCCACCTGAAAGGAAATGGACAATGACGTGAAGTGGGTGAGAGCTCGGGCCCTGACCTGCGGGGGCAAAGGGGGTTCCTCCAGAGCCCCTCCTCCCAGAGCAGCCGCCTGAAATGGGCAGTCACGGAGCTTTCCCTCCGCACGCTGCTCTTCCCCACGACCTGCGGCTTTGACTGAGTGGCGGGGGCCATGGGACCTGCAGGGGCTGGCCTGGGAATTCTCTCCCCCTTAATTTGTTTTAAAGGCAAAACTTCAACATGTTCACATGCAGGGGAGTAGGGGCTGCTGGTGGGAGTTGTCTCTGCTGTTCTGGGTGGAACCCAGGCCCCACCGCATGCCGGGAAGGCGCTCCCACTCCACCGCACGCACCCTGTCCCTCCCTCCTTGGGGAATTTTAGGAAGTGACTTGAGTGGGGAGATAGGGGGCTCTGGGATTGCTTTGGGGGTGGGACTGGGATCGCACCAGGGTTGCTTTGCCCCTGAGCTAATCCCCACTCCTTTTTCCTTTTTTTTTTTTTTGGTGCTGGGGACTGAACCCAGGGATGTTCTACCACTGAGCTGCTTCCCGGGCCCTTTACTATTTTTTTGCACGTTCTTTATTGGTGCATCATACTTGTGCATCGTGGTGAGGTTGCTGTCACATAGTCACACATGCTCACAATGTAACAATCTCATTTGGCCAATACCACTCCCCAGCCCGCCCCCCTCCCTCTCCGCACCCCCCCCACTCCTTTTCTGTATTCTACTGAGCTTCTGCTGATTTTCATGAGATACCCCGACCCTTCTCCTCCTTTTCCCTCTCTAGCTTCCACATTTGAGAGAAGACATGCGACCCTTGACCTTCTGTGTTTGGCTGATTTCGCTCCACGTGATGGACATTTTCCTGCAACTGCCATAATTTAAATTTTCTTTATAGCTGAATAAAACTCCCTGTGTATAGACACCACATTTTCTTTATCCACTCATCTGTTGATGGGCACCTAGGCTGGTTCCATTTCGGCCGCGGTGAACCGTGGGCTGTAACCCGGGCAGGCATGTGTCACTCTAGTAAGATGACTTTAATTCTTTGGGATAAAAACCAAAAAGCGGTATAGCCGGGTCATATGGTGGTTCTATTCCTAGACTCTTGGGCAACCTCCCTACTGATTCCCATAGCTGTACTGATTTACAGTCCCACCCACAGTCTAACAGTGTTCCTTTTTCTCCACATCATCTCCATATCCTATTCTTGATGGCTGCCATTCTGACCCGTGTGAGACGAAATCTCAGTATAGTTTTGGTCTGAATTTTCCTAACTGCTAATGGGGTTGAGCATTTTGCTCATACACTTGTTGGACATGTGTATTTCTTCTTTTGACAAGTATCTGTTTAATTCATTTGCCCAGATGCTCAGCTCAATTGCTGAGGGGCCTCAAACTTAGGACCCTCCTGCCTCAGCCCTCTGAGTTTCTAGGTTTACAGATGTGCACCACCGGGTCCAGCTCTTTTTTTATTTTTTTAGGTTGAGACAGGGTCTTGCTAAGTTGCCGAGGCTGTCCCTGAACTTGCAATCCTCCTGCCTCAGCCTCCTGAGATGCTGGGCTTACAGGAGTGCACCACCAAGCCAGCTGTCACTTGCTTTTGGTAAGTCACATCAGGGCCTTGGTTTCCTCAAGCAGGAGCTGGCCTAGACCAGGGTCTCAAAGTGGTCCAAGTGGCAGAGCATCAGCAAGCTCTCTGCAGGAACCCCAGGAACACCCCCACCCCATGCTGGTTTCCAGCAGTTACCAAGCTGAGCGCCCTGCATCCTCTCAATCCATCTACACAGCAATGCCACCAGGTGGGAACTATTACCAACCCCAATTAACAGACGAGGAAACTGAGGCTCAGGCCATTCAGCTAGGATTTGAACAGTGTGCCTGACCTAAAGGCCATTCCCTGGGCTACTGCTGCATCCTTAATTCCAGTGGGTGGTCCCGGAGCTACTTCGCCTATGAACAATATTGGATGTGTGTCCTCTGAACCTACCCAAGTGTGCAAAGTAAGCTACTGTGTTGTGGAACACACACAGGCAGCTGCACCTGAGCTTATCTTATTCACTTATTTGTCTACCGCAGCATCAGGGGTCAGTCCCCTGAAGGCTCTGACTGGGGGACTCAGCCCCCATCTCCCCTCCCCCAGCCTGTGACTCACGATGATGTCACCCCCTCGGACGAACTGCAGGCGGATCTGGAACACGACAATGTCCAGGAGGTAGATGAGGTCGCACAGGTAGTCCATCAGCAGCCAGAGGTGGACGTTGCCCGGCGTCTGGTAGGGGAAGGCCCAGCGCACGGGGATCAGCCAGCAGTTCCAGTTCCAGGCCAGCACCACGAAGAACAGCCACAGGATGTACATCAGGTCTGCGGGGAGGGAGGACGGGCAGCTAGATCCAGCTGGAACCCAGGACCCTCCTCCGTGGCGCCAGGTGGGCTTCCAGCTTCCCAGGGGCCTGCACCTGGTGCTCCTGTCACTGTGCACGGGTAAAACTTTCTGTGCTTTAAGGACAGATCACCCCCAGGCCCAAATGAAGGGACACTGAGGCAGGGTTACAGGAACATTATTAGACAGTAGACACCTAACTAGAAAAGCATTTGGCTTTCATTCTTTTTGAAAAATTTTCTAACTGGTAATTCCTGCCTTAGTAAGTCATGCACGGAGGTTGGACGGATGGAGGGACAGACAGGGGGGTGGATGGATGGATGGACAGTGTAGGTCTCCTAGTCATCTTAGAAGCCCAGGGGACACCAGGATTGGAGTCTTGCCCCCTGAAAGATTTCCTTTGTGACCTTGAGAAAGTGACTCTCTGGCACTTGTCCTGCCCGTCTCAAAGTCACAGGAGAATGTCAGATAAGAGGGGCAGGGAAGGCCTTTGTAAACTGCAAAGTGCTGTGCACATAGGCAATGGCATCGCTCCTGAGGACTATAGAATGCGCTTAAAGGGATGAGAGAGGAGTTCCTCTTCACTGTGGAGGAACCTTCCCCGTCTCGGTGCAGCCCGAGCAGAAAGCCTTGGCCAAAAGCCAGGAGTCCTGGGTCCGTGCTAACTCACTGTGTCTTTAGGCTGGATGGTTTCTCTGTGCCTGGGTTTCTCCATCTCTAAAATGGGTGTGACCTGGCGTTCCTATTCCAGCGACTTTTGTTGTTGTTTAAGAACCAGGTGAGGAAGTGTGGAATCATTTGGAAAATGGGTCACAAACCTGGGACGACGTGGCCTCCCACCTGCCTCTCACCTCATCCACCCTCTCCCGCTGCACGGTGGCAACTCACTGGTCAGCGGATCGATGCTCTGGGGGAACTTGTACTTCTTCCAGGGGCGCCGTTTGAACTTGCAGCAGAGCATGTCACAATAGTGCTCCTCCTCCACCTGCTCCACTTCCGGGGGCTTCGAGGCTGGGGCGGGCTCTGGGGCTTTCTTGGCTGGGGCTGAGGGATGACATGGGTGACCACCTGTCCAGCCCTGAGAAGGGTCCCCACCACAGACCCTGGAACCAGAACTGAGGGGTCCACCCCACAGCCTGCTGCAAGCTCTGTGCGTGGAATCCAGGGGGCTCCCCAGAAGCGCCCCTGGGCTTCCTCTGCAGCAGCAGCCAGGCTGCCCCCCGAGACTCTTATTAACTATAGCACGGAACTGCTCCTCAGGGGCTGTCCCAGTGAGGTCCTCCTGGGCACGTTGACCATTTCAGCTCAGCCTTGCGCACCTGTGTTTGGACCCCTGGCTGCCCTCTGATGGGCGGGGGGTCGTACCCAGGGCCCTCACTGTCGGGTCAGAGTGCGAAAGGGCCCAGAGAAATCAGGAGATGTTGCTCAGGCTTCTCAGAGCAGGACTCCTGGCCCCTCTGTCCCTGCCAGGGACACTGACTGGGACCTGGCCTCCTGCCTGGCAACCACCTGCTGCTCTGGGTGACGAGGGCCTGTTGCTCACAGGCTCAATGTGGCCGTGTTTCTAGCTTTAGGACTATGAAGTCAGGGTCTGGTGAATCTATGGTGGGCACCGGAGTTCCAAAGCCCTTCTCTGGAAAGATCTAGAAAACCTTCCTGACAAGAAAACATGGTTCTTATTTCCCCCTAAATCCTTGAAAGAAAGGAAAATGTTCAGGTGGCCCCACAAGAACTTTCGAGGCTCTGATGAATCTGAACAATAAGACCATCTAGGACACTCTCTGACTGTGGCACGAGACACAGTCCCACGCAGGCCCCCACCTGCCAGCGGGAAGGGGGCAGAGGGCCCGCAGTTGCCCTCGTGAGCAAGGTTGTTGCTCATAACCTTGAACTTTGTCCCCTCCCAGATAGAGAACCCGTATTCACAGGGCCCCGAGTCCCCAGCACGGGGATCTGGGCTTCTCCTGTGCACTCCAGACTCGCCCTGGGCCACCCTCACCTTGGTTGGCAGGGACTTTGGGGACCCCATCCTTCTCTGGCCAGGTGGACCACCTGCAGCCCCCACTCACAGGGCTTGGGGCTCTCCTCGTCGGAGGTGACATCCGGGTCGATGAGCTTCTCCTTCACCTTCTCCGTCCGCTCCTTGAAGAGCTTCACCAGCTCCTGCAGCCGGTCGTTGATGATGGCGCTGTTCTGGCTGGCGGTGGAGGCCGCACGGTCCTGGCCACTGTGGGAGCGGAACACAGGCTGAGCAGGAAAGGACCCCAGTGTCCAGCCAGAGCTGGTCAGCGTCCGGGGCTCACCTTCCGTCAGAGCCAGGAGGAGGCACATCCTGCCCCCGCTTCTCCAACACTAGAAATTCGACCCTGTCCCCTTTCTCCCAGGAGGAAATGCAGCGGGGAGCATGTGCAGGTGCGCTGGCCCCAGGGACACTGTCACCCACCAGGGTCAGAGAATGTACCCTGGTGCCTCTGATCCAGGCGCAGTTCCTAAAATAAACTTTCGTTCCATTTGTAGTTTGGGGAGAAATTCTAGGAACTCAGCCCAGAGTTCTGCAGAATCGGGGACTTAGACCCAGCTCAAGGTTCCCAGGAGACTTGTGCCTGCAGTAGAACAGAGAGGGGAGCAGGGGCTGTGTTTGGGGACCTAGGACATCAGTGGAAAAGGCACTGGAGACATGTGTTAGCCCTCTTTAACCTACAGGACTTAGAGTTCATGCACTGACAGTGAAAGAGAGTGGCAGAGAGAGAGGATGACGGCGTGGGGCATCTGCCCTGCGTGAGCTGGCACAGGTCACATGAGCGGGCTCCCCTGAGTGACCACACTGTGATCAGCTTGCTGAGCGGACTGTACCAGTAGGGTTTGCAGATGTGATATGTATGTATGGGTCAAGGTGCAGAAACTCAAGTCAACTGCTTCTCTTGGGCTGAACCAAGGAATGGGCCTGATGAGAGGTGGCATGCAGGTACGGCAGACACGGGAGCTGCTTCCTGGCATCTGCTCTCCCCCGTGGTGAGTAGTGGCTGGAATAGAGCCACCCAGCCTGGGACTTCACTTCGAGGTATGTGTGGGAAGCTGTCACCACTGGAACGTGAGTAGATATGTGACATGCGACTCCAGAGCTCCTTGCTGAAGAAAGGCCAACAGCTGTCCCTTTCTGATGATGACCAGTGGGATCTTGGAAGCCACATGGAAAAAGTGGCAGAGCCACTGTAACCTGGGTACCTAAATGATTCTGTGGAGCAGAGCCTTCCACTGACCAGAAACATGCAACTTGGGCCATAACTATGACATATGAGATATCTTCTTGTCCCTTCAGTCACTGAACTTTTAGGGTATACTTGTTACAGCGACTTAGCCTAACTAATACATGGGTATCTATGTTGACCTCCTTATGAGATTCCAAAGATAATTTTTTGCATGTTTGTGCAGTGCTGGGAATTAAACCCAGGCCTTTTTGCATGCTAGCCACATGCTCTACCACTGAGCTACATCCCCAGCCCCTATTTTTATTTTGAGAGACAGGGTCTTGCTAAGTCACTGAGGCTGGTCTCAAACTTGCACTCTCCTGCCCCAGCCTCCCAAGTAGCCACCGTGCCCAGCTAAGGGTAATTTTTATTATCATACCTGCCTTATGCCATATTATCTGAGGCTCGGTCCTCATCCTAACCTACCCTACTATATTAAATGTGTGCTAAAAAGGGCAACTGGTCTAGGGATGAGGTTAAGGGTTTTTCCTGCTTCTTCATCTGCTGATGAATTTCCTGTTACTCTGTTAAGCACAAACTGCATAAAATTATGAATATAGAAACAAACAAAGAGCAGAAGGAGGAAGGCAAGCCTGGCATCTCCTGTCTCAAGAGGCTCATACCTGGAGAGCATGGCAGGGACTGGGCTGGGGTACCCAACATGCACCAGGTCCCTCAAATCCTTCAGAAACACCCCCCATTGACCCAGCCTTGGGATCATTAGATGCCAGAGACCCCAGCCCAAGGCCGTCACTGCCGTTTCTAACCCTGTTTTGCATACAAGGGGCAGCAGGATCGCCAGGGAGCCTCCCCAGGGCTGTGGTCTGAGGCTCTGATCCAGTAGAACTGGATGGGCCCGGGGGTCTGTAGTTTTAACAAGCTTCCCAAGATGGGACCCAGTGGAGATCCCGTGTCCCCCTGTTCCTGCTGACCCTTTTGGGGTCAGTCACCACCCCCTTGTCTCTGAGCACTGCTGGCTGTTCCCAGAGCTGGACCCAGAGTTGCAGTCTATCCTGCGGAGTCGGCAGAACTCCTGGGCCAGCCAGGAGCAGCCAGCGCAGGAGACCAGCCGGCGGACTGCTCGGAAGCGCCTGGGAGAAATACAGTCCCCCGGAGCAGCCTTCCTCTAAAACACGCACGCCCCCCACCTCCTCATCGGCCCACCCCACCCAGCTCCCAGCACCATGAGACCCGAGGGGTGGCCCCACTCACTCGGCTTCCTGTGGGGTGGTGGGGTCTGACCAGGCCACCACTGGGGACTCGGCTGGTGACAGCGCCCCCCTGAGTTCTTCGGCCTCATCATCCTCGTGGGAGGGCAGTTTCTTCCTGAAAGGATGCAGACACACAAGGCGCCTTTAGGAGGGCAGAGAAATGACTTTGACCCCGAGGACCACCCGGAGCCGGTTCCTAGGTAGAGGACGGGGCGGGGTGCTTCTGCCAAAGGGTCCTCATTTCGCTGGAGGGAGGCACAAAAGAAAAGAGAGGGACACTGCCCGCCTCGGACCTCCGTCTTCCCACCTGCTCACTGACGTGGTATCAGGCAAACTTGAATTGGCACCCAGCCCTGCCTCAGGCCAGGGCGTGACCTTGGCAAAGGACTTCAACTCTGAGCTCTTTCCATTTCCCCTTTCTGTAAAATAGGGCTAAATCTCCCCGACTCCACGGGGTCCTTGACACTCAGCCAGGTCTCAACTGGGACGTCCTTCCCCTCCTGTCTCCTGTTCCAAGCCTCCCCTTCTCTGTGCCCACGCTTTCACGGTGTGACCTCGGGCAAATCCCATCCCCTCCTGGACTCTAGGTTCCCTATCTGAATAAACGAGGACTAAATTATCCAGGGGTCCCCTGTCATTCAGAAAATTAAACTCTGCCGTAGAATGCTGCATTGGGGGGCTTTTTGCATCTTGGCTGATGGCATCTAGGCCTGAAAACCACCTGGATCTCAGGGACGAGAAGGTTCCTGCCCAGCCTGCCCCTGGCCTGGGGTCCCCAGGTTGGAGCCTGGGTGGTCTGACGTGGTAGGAGAGGTGCCTTTGATACTATTTGATGTTGGCATTTTAGGGGTGAATTCCCTGGATTTTCCCACCCTTTGTCTCAACAGCGAGAATGATTTGGTTGGCTGGGTTACCCCAAAACCTGGGAAGAGAAGAAAAGCGATGAAGAGAGAGAAATTTCTTAACATCAGCAAGGAAGCCATCCCCGGAATTAGAGAAAAAGTCCTGCTCAGCACAAAGTAGAATAAAGAAATAAAGATCATTCTGGAGGACCTGCCCAGGCCAGTGTCCACCACTAGGAACGGCATTTTATGGGTTAGCGACTTAGGTGCTGGTGGAGAAGAAGGGGTCCTTTCTTAAGGACTTGTACTATCCTATGAAACGCAGAAGACAGTGTCAGCACATGGAGACGGTGACAGTGTGTGAAACCAAGTGTCTAGGGACATGGATCAAAGCATCAGCACAGCAAGCCTGTGTTATCCATCAAGACGAGTGTCAGAACAAAGATGAGCACTCAGCCCTTGACCCCGAGTGTGCTGGGCCCAAAATGGGACAGCGTGGCCACACGTGCAGCTGGGCCCACCCCACCGTGAAGGTGTGAGCAGCCTGCTGAACTCCGTTGTAGCAGCAACTTACCGAACACAGACTATAGCACTCAAATGGTGTCTTGCACTCCTGCTTTCACAGTAGCCAAGAGGTGGAAATAAGCTAAATGTCCACCGTGGGTGAACAGTGCTGAGGATGGAACCCGATGCCTCACATGAGCGAGGCAAGCGCTCTCCGGCTGAGCCACCGCCCCAGCCCTCGCGTGCTACAGTGCAGTCACCAAAAGACACGGCTCCAGGCCCAGAGCACAGAACAGCCGCAGAAGAACAAATACCGCCAACTCCACTGACCCCAGGTGCCTACAGAAGTCCTCAAGCTCACAGACAGGAGGCTGACGCTTCCCAGCTGGGCTGGGGGAGGAACGAGCAAGTGTCGTTCAATGTACAGAGTTCCAGTTGTGTGAGATGGAAAATTCTAGAGAGCCGCTGCATCGCAATGTGCATACAGTTAATGGTATGACACATTTACACTTTTGTTGAAGAGGGGGAGAAAAGGACTGGTAGTTGATAATCATTTGTAAGTCCAACTGAACCACATCCTTTCAAAAGATAAAATAAAAAGGAAGTGTAAATGAGATTGTCCCATTCATCACATGATGTGATTATTTACTATGCGACTGCTCTCCTCTCCTGGCTGAGGGCATCCAGGGCAGGGCCTCCCGGGAGAGCCCCTATAAAAAGCCCTGAGCCAGGCATCAGGAGAACCAGGAGAGGGTGTCAGGGTCCCAGCGCTGAGGCCAACTGCAGCGTGACGTGTCCCCTGTCTGGCCTCCGTCTCCTCCTCTGCCACGTGGACAGGGGGCCGTGCCCAGAGGAGCCCAAGAGAAGCATAAAAGGTCACCTGTGGGCCCCGGGGGCCGAGACGGGGACCGTGAGGGTGTCGGATTTGACGGGCGAAGGTGGCAGCTGCTCCGGTGGCGTCTCCTCCACGATGAGGGGGCGGCTGTCCGCCTTGGTGTCTTCCACCTGCACCTCCGGGTGCTCCTTGGTGGCAGGCACTTGGGGAAAGGGAGAGAGGAAGGGAGTCAGGGAGAGAAGCCGGGGTGGCGGGGGGCCTGGCCACGTGCCTGAAGGAAGCAGCGGAGCCGGGTCTGGAGGGAGCCTGGCAGCCTCACCTGCCCCATGCAGGGGTGCGGGACGCCAGGCCTGAGATGCATTGAGGGCCACAGCCAGGCCAGCCACCAACCAGGAGCCGCGAAAGAAGCCACGAAAGAAGCCACATGCCATAGAAACCCTCCAAGCCCTGACTGGCTCCCCGAGCCCAGAGGGAGCATTCACGGGGAGGGGGTGACAGTGTTTGGACAGGGCCCTCAGGGAAAGTCCCAGGCCTGGCCTAGCACTGCTGGTCAGCCGCTTCCCTTCTCTGAGCCTCAGTTTCTCTCTCAAGGTAGGGTGACAATGCCACTCAGGCCTATGGGAAAACCCAGGGGACACAGACCGTCTTTCTAGTGTGCGCCACCCCCGACCTGGGCACCTGCTCTGGCATTTCCCGTTTTCATACAAGCCAGGAGCCACCAGAACCCAATCTCCAGACCGCTGAGAAGTGTGTCACCAGGTCCTCCCTGGGGACACCAGGTGTGCTCCTGCCTCTGGCTCCATCCCCCACCTCAGGGACTGTGGGGACAGATCTGCCCAAGCCCAAGCTCAGAGGATGCCGGGGTCTGAGCAGCGCCCCTGCTCTTTTGCCCCCCGCCAACACCTGGGGGACCCACAGGAGCAGCTAGGCCCAGGCCTGGGCCCCAGCAAGGTAGGGGAGGGGAGAGATTGAAATAATTGGATCTAAGACTTGGGGAGGTGGGTTTGGGAGCCAGGGCATCACCACCGAGCGTCACCCAGCCCTGGGTGTGATAATGGCCATCGTGGGAAGGCCGGCACTTTGTGGAGTTGTTTACACTTAGTCTCGTGGAGGGGACCTAAGGAGGCATCGAGATCTCTTGGCATTTTTTAAAGAATGAGACCTAATCTCTAGGAGGAAGAGGATGAAGGTGAATGGAGACTTTGCCTGAAATGTAAAGGAGACACTTTACCAACCAACAGGAGATTCCCCGGCCTCTGGGCGGGAGGAGGACAGGAGTGGGAGGCCCTCACCCAACTGCTCGGTGGCCTGGAAGGGTGAGCTGGGGGGGAGAGGGACAGGGGACCGCCAATCAAGAAACCTCTGGAACATGCTCAGGGACCTGGGAGGGCAGCAGGCAGCCCACCAAATTCAGCGTCCATCGCGAGGGGGCTCCACAGAGCTGCAGGGCTGATGCCCACCCTGCCTTGTCCTGGGTGGGACCCTGCATCCTTGATGCCCCTGGGGTTCTGGGGAGAAAACTCCCACGACTGAGGTTGCATTTCCTACCAGCTCAGTAGAGCAGGAGCTCAAAATAGCAGTGCATCGGTTTACACCATGTCCATGTACAGACTAAGAATTATTAGAAATATAGGGCTGGGGCCGGGGCTCAGTGGTAGAGCACTTGCCTAGCATGTGTGAGGCCCTGGGTTCGATCCTCAGCACCACATAAAAAAAAATCAATCAATCAATCAAATAAAGGTATTGTGCCCATCTACAAATAAAAAAAATTTTTAAAGAAATATAAAGAAAAAATATTACATTACTAAATTGGTTAGAGAATAATATTTACTGTTAAGTACTTCCTATATGCCGGCCAATATTTCTTTTGCCAAATTCTAAGTATTTTATATATATATATCAACTTTTTTTCATTGTTGCTTTGAGATGGGGTCTCACTATGTTGGCCAGGCTGACCTTGAACTCCTGGGCTCCATCGATCCTCCTGCCTCAGCCTCCTGAGCAGCTGGGACTCCAGGCACCGGGCTACCACACCCAGCTCTGTGGACTCTCCAGCCCTTCCCTCTGTGCTGTGAGGTAGTTGTTATCCTGGTCCCCACTTTGTGCATAAGAAACCGAGGCATAGAGAAGCGAAGAAACCCACAGCTGAGCAGGATTCGAACCCAGCTCGGAAGGTACCAGTGGCCTCACTGAAACCCTGCGTCTTGCTCTGTCTTCTCATTTCCTTATCTGTTGCATGTAAAGTCAACACATGTCGTACCTCTGCCAGATCCACCCGCTGTCACTGGGGACATTTCCCAGTGGGGATTCCCAGGGACCCAGGAGGACAGAGGATGATCTCCAATGTACAGATCAGGCAAAGGAGAACACAGAATGGGAACATGACTCCCGATCCATTCCCTCTAGATTCTGAATCCACAGAGGGGAAGTGAGGTTAGCGCTTCGGTGGCCTTCACTAACGCCCCTATGACACAGCCGAGGCCCCTTTCAGCCAAGGACACAGCACGGCCCCCAGCCTGCCGCCACCCCACCCGTAGCTCTCAGCACTGATTTGTTTTCCGGGTGTTTGGGGTTATTTCTCTTCATGGCAAGCTGTGCTGGTTTTCCATTTGAATAGTAACACCAAGTTTCAGTAAAATGAATTAAATTGAGAAGAGAATCCAGTTAAAGAAAATAAGACACCTATAAAAGGAGAGTTGGCCCAGAATAGGACAACAGGTATGGGGCGATCCAGGGGAGAGGGAGTCGGGGGACCCCTGGAGTGGGAGAGTTAGGGTCTGCCCACCAGGGCACGGACCCACGGTGGGGGTGATCAGCATGCCACCTCACCCCAACTCTGAGCCCATCGAGAGCCAGGAAGGGAAGAGAGGAGCCAGTGTCCCCGTGAAGGGCTCAGTGAGACCCACCACCTGGCCTGGTCTCAGAGGCAGCTTTGCATGGTGTCAACCCAAAATAGCCAACGTCAAAAGGAGAGTCGGCAGGTCTGGCTTCAGCTAAGGCAGAAAGCGGCAGGGATCAGCCCAGAGGAGCCAGTATGTCCCTGAGTACTTTCATCAGCCAGTGAGCAGCTGTAGCCCAAAAGCCACTATGAGGACCGTGTGACAATTAAAGGGATCCAGACAGGCCTCCCTCTGCGCTGGCCCCTCAGGATGGCCTCCTCCTGGCCGGCCGGCCTGCACCTGGCAGCTCCTTCTTTCCTGAAGTGGAATTTGCTGAGCAGATATTAATAGTCCTCAGAAAGCCCAGCCAGCAAACTCTCACCATCAGTAGATTGTATCTGCAGAGGGCCTGACTTCACTCTCTTATTACTTTTCTTTTTTTAATGCCCTTACCCCCAAAACGACTAGCTCCTTGGCCCAAGCTTCGTGGCCCAGAGATCCGAGAAAGTGCATCTCTCTATTTTTTAAAAACCCGATTGCCTGCAGAAAGCCACATGTAAACCCAAAGAAATAATTGCTAAATGCAGAATGTAGGCATGGGGAGAAAGAGAGGGAAGGCCTGGTTCCGCAGAGGAAGAGAAAGTGGCTTTCCCTGAGCACAAGGCGTGGTTCCACACCCTGGCCACAGAGCCCTGTAGGCAGAGAGCCCAAGCCATGCACCAGCTGCACCCGCCGCAGGCTGAAGCGCACTGGGAGGTGAGTTCGCGCTACCTAGGCGACGAATGGAGCTCCTGGTCTCCTTGGCGAAGCTGGAATTGGACAGGGCTGTTCTCCGGGTGACGAGGACAGGGATGCGGGTGATGGGCGGGCGGTAGCTAGGCACATTGGGGAGGTGCTCTGCCAGGTTCGGGGGTGCAAGCCTGGGGGCCCCCTGGCCAGGCGGCTGGTCCTGGACCAGGCGATTCAGCTCCATGTCCTGGCCTGGCTTGGCCATGGTGCTGGAGTCCGAAGGTTGCGGGCAGAGGTGTGACCCTGGGGACTGCAATCGGGAGCAGAACAGGGAGGCGGTCAGTGGGGCTCCTCTCTCAGCACCGACACGGAGCAGCATGGTGCCCATCTGCATTCGCAGCAGCTGTCCCCGGTCTGAAGCACCCCTCACTCTTATCCCTGAAGTTCAACATCGAAAGGGTCATCCAGGCATGTGGCCGGTCCACCCAGCAGCCCCAGCGCCTCCTGACTTTTCGCGGTCTCCACTGACCACCTGCAGCAGCATGACCCATCTCTGACCAAGGAAAGTCAGAATCCCGCAAAGCAGGACTCACAGGCTCGGGCGCTAAGAACCAGAGTCCTGGATGGAAAATATCCTCAGCCCAGAATCGCCCAGGCCAAAGAAACCCTGGAGGTAGATCAGTGTCACTTCCAACCAGGGGCAGTCCCCTTTCCTGGGGCCCAAACTGAGCTGCATAGTGGAATAAGCAGGGGCTGTCGGCGTGTCTGATACCCAGGCCTGTCACCCCCAGGACCTGACCTCATGGTCAAGATGAGGCCTAGCACTGGGAGTTTTAAACTCTCCCCAGGATTCAAATGTGCAGTCAAGTCTGAGAACCAGGGCTCAAGGCCATTCCCCTTTCAAACGCTAACACACAGAGCCAGCGTCAGAGGACCTTGTAACATGGTCAATTTCTGACTTGGCTGGTCTGGGCGGTTCCTGGGGCTCTGCATTCCTCAGCAGCTCCCAGGTGACACACAGCTGCTGGCCCTGCGTGCAAACTTTTGAGTATCAATGGACAAGAGGCCGTGCCTCAGCGCTTCTCCAGTGTGGCTCCAGCACGTGGAGCAGGGGCAGCACCAGCCCTGCTGTGCCGGTTGGTCCTGGACTCATTGGAGGCCCAGCATAGGGCCTGGACTTGGTGGGTCTCCCACAGATGAACATGAAAGTTCACAGAGAACTCTTTGTAAAGGCCAGCTGAGGGGCAAGCTGGGGACACCCAGGTCAGGACCCCGGCCCAGTATCATCTCCATGGCCAGTGGCCAGAACACAAGCATCAATTGTCCTCTCCACTTCTGACTCTTCCCTTGGCACCAGCAGCGATGCCGGGCACCTTCGATCCATCGCGTCCCCTGTTCTGCCCAACAGCCTTGGAGGTAGAACTATGATTGCTCCATTTTTCTGGATTTAGGAGCCAAGACTCTGAGAGGTCGCAAAACTGGCTTTGGATCACGCAGCCAAGAAGGGGGAGAGGCGTGAGGGGCAGGTTTAGGCCTTGACCTTGGGGCAGCCTCAATGGTATCATCTGTCCAGTGGTCTGTCTGCATCGCTGGGCAGCTGCAGTGCAGGTGGCTGGAGGAATGGGAGGTGTGTGGGCCGGGGCTCCACGTCTGTCTGTCTGTCTGTCTGGGTAAGATGGCCTGGCTGCTGCTCCACCCCCGGACTCTCAACCCCCATTCTTGAAGCTCTCAGGACTGGGGGTGGGTGTAAAATACAAGCAAAGCCCAGGTGCCGGCCCCGCCCTGCGAGCTCAGCCGTCGGGATGAGCCCTGAGACCCAGGGTCTGGGAGCACCATGTGCAGGCTCCGTCCGGCCCCACTGTCCCTCACTTACATTATGCGGGTGTCTGAGCTGAACCCTGGCTGGGTGGGACCCACAGCTACACTCCCCCGAGAGGCATGGCAGGGGCGGAGGGTGGGAGCTAGGAATCCTCGGTCCTCCCTGCCACTCCCCTAGGACCTTTGAAAGACGTCATCTGGCCATGACAATGTGGCCCAAGACTCGCGGGATGGGCTTTGCTGAGGGCGGACGGTGGGGCAACAACTTGGAAGGAGGTGGAGGGACAGGCAGAGAGACCCCCCCAGCCTGAAAGGACCCCTGACATTCCCCGCAGTCACCTCCACCACCACCCACCTGCTGAGCTGGCGGCCTCCGCCTCCTCCTGCAGCCCCTGCAAAGATACAGCGGGGCAGTGCTGGGACACCCGCTCCGGGCCTCTGTCCCAACGGCCCACTCAGGACATCTTCAGGGGTCCTCGCAGCCCCCCATTCTACTCTCGCCCTGCCCAGGCAGGCAGGCCCTGCTGGCCCGTCTCCAGGGGCATCCAGACAGGAGGCTAGAACCTGAGGAGTCCACAGCACACAGGAAGCCCCAGGCCCTGACTTGGGGACTTGTCACATGTGCCGAGAGGAGCCATCCTGTTCGTATGGGCACAAATCAACAACAGACCCCACCGGAAGCCCCACCCCGGACGGCACCTTGCAGAGGGTACGAGCACTTTTGGATCCTCCTGCAATCCCAGGAGGCGTTTTAGCAGGTGGTCACGGAGGCCACATGGCAAGGTGAACCAGGTGGGAATCTGAGCCCAGCTCCACCCGACCCCACCCGTGGCCAAGGTCCTCCCTGACACCTGAGAGGGGCCCTCCACTCTCTCCCCTCCACCCTGCCCAGGCCTCAGGGGTTCTCCGTACCTGGAATGAGGCCTTCGGGGGCTGCTTCCCGCCTCCTCTGCTCGGATCCACACTGGACTGCACCAGCCAGGAGCTATCCAGCCGGACACTGGGGCTGGGGGGGGGGTGCGGAGGGTGGGGTTAGGAGCGCTCACCAGTCCCCAAGCCCTGCTGGGGCCGAAGCTCTAGACCAGGGGTTGGGGACAGAATGGTCAAGACCAGGCCTTGTCCTCATCTGGCTCCCAGGGCAGTGTCCTGCTGACCATCACTCTGAGACACAGGACAAGCCACACCTCTTCTGGGAAGGAGGGCTTCCTGGAGCAGGTGGCCTGCAAGCTGGGCTCAAGGATGAGGATTTTAAAACCAGGAACAGGAAGCCAGGATGGCAAGAGAAGCACAGAGGAGGAGAGAGGAGATGTCCCACACTGCCACTGTCAAAGCTCTCAGTGGTCACTGACCCAGGTAGCAGGCACACATGAGTGACGGGGTCAGAGGGCAGTGTGGGGCAGGGAGGACCTTGGCAAGTGGGAGACCCATATCCATCTGCAGATGGCGACCCCCCTCTACTGGGAATGGATCTTGCCGTTTTCAAGAGAAGCCTGAGCTATATATTTTGAAGGTGGAATTTCCTGATATTTAGATGCCAATAATTAATTCAGATTAATTTGAAATTGATATGTAGATATTTTAAAAAGAGCCTTTCTCCAGGCAAAATCAGGCCCTTAGAAGTCTAAGTATGACCTCTGGGTTACAGGCCGACTTAGAACCGGGGGCTAATGTGACTTTTATAGTTAGAATTAGATGTGCTTCTGAATAGCCCTGTCCCAGCCCTTGGTTCCCTGTCCCCAAGAGGCTTATTGAAGATGCTCTGGGGTGTCCGCCACCCAGAAAACCTGGGTTCACCTTCCTCTACCCAGGGGGCCTCATCTCAGCCTTCTCAAGGGGGCTGAGGAGGTGGGGACAGGAGTGTGGCCGAGTGGGTTTGAATCCAGCCACCTGGGAGCAGGAATCAGCCCAAGGTCACAGTGCCACAACAGCCCTTGTGGGCCACAGGCCAGGCCCGGTGCCAGGCGCTCCACATACAGTGTCTCCCGACTTTTCATGTAAACAATCCTGAGAGACCAGGGCTGTGGCTAAGACCATTCCAGCTCAGAAAGTTGAGGCTCAGAGAGGTTCGGTGGCTGGTCCAGGGTCACACAGCCTGTAAGGGGGGTGGGGAGCCTGGAAAAGACACAGATGTCTCTGCCCCCAAAGCCAGGTGCTTACCACTCAGTTCTGCTGCCCACCTCTGAGCGGCGACATGGCCCCATGTGACACGAAGGAGTGAGACCCAGGGTTTGAATGGCACCAGCACCTGACTCACTTTATTTTTCTTCTCTGTGTAGACATTTCCCTTGTCAGGACCTCAACTCTCAGGGTAAGGCTCCCCACCTTGCCCAGCACAAAACTGATTTTTTGGTAGAGATTCAAGTCATAAGCAGGCCACATCATGGCTTCGACAGGTCCTGAGCACATCAGCTTTCAGCCCCTGATCCCCCAAAACTCTATTATCAACTCTGGTTTTAGGACTGTGATGGTATGAGATCAGTATGTTAATATCATATCTTGCACCATCTTTCTGCCATCTCAAAGCCCTTGGGGGGGGGGAAATCTGATTTTAAAAGAAATTAAACCATTCTCAGGGCTGCTGTATTGCTCCGAGGGAGAACGGGCACCCAGAAAGCGCTGGGTTGGAGCCTCAGCCCTGCAGAAAACAGGAAAAACAAGAAACATTCTCACGGATCCCTGAGATCCGTGGGCACCGTGCCTACTACACAAACCGTGGCCTGGCACGGCTGGGGAGCTAGGGACCTCTGCTGCCCAGGGGCGGGACCAGCTTCTCCCTCCCCAAACAGGTACAGGACCCTTCTCTGAAGGGCCAGCCCTGGATGTGGGCTACCCTTGTCCCAGCCAGAGGCATCCTGAGGTCCTGTTCTTTCCATTATCAGGCCAGGGAATCGCTGTCTGGCCTGGGGCAAGTCCCCTGGAAGCCCTGGGGCCGCCTCTGTCTGATCATCTGTCCAGTGGGCAGGACTGGCCTGGCCTGTGCAGCCGGACTTCCTTGAAAGAGGTCAGAGGGCCAGTGGGGACCTCGTGGAAAAGAGACTGTCAGAGCGGTTCTTGGGATTTTTCTGGATCTTTCACCTCTAAACACAGAAAGCGGTTTTCCTTGGCCCAAAGTACCAGGCTCTGTGTTCACTCAGGAGCCAACTGGGGACAGAACCCCAGCTCTGGGCCTCCTGGTGGGCCAGCCCTGGGCGTGCAGGGCACCATCTCTGAGCCTCAGTTCCCCATCTGTGAATTGGGATCAGTGATGGAATCTGCCATTCTGACTGTCTCAGCTCGGTCTAGCGTGGAAAAATATCACCAGTCAAACGACAGCTATTTCTATCACTATTCTTGTCATTGCTATGGTTCATCCCAAGGAGGTGGTGGTCGGCAGGGCCATGAAGTCACCCACATGGACCGGGAAGTGTTTTGAACAGTCAGCCTCAGTTATCCACGAACCAATGTGCCCAACGGTGCCTGTGCCCATATCACCAAGGGCCGTTGGGGGTGGTCCTTGTACCCAGGTCACACCGTCCCTACTCCATCGTGTGCCCGGTACCTGCCGAGGTTCCCACTTTCCCAGCCCAGAAGCAACAGCCTAACAACTTCCAGAGAGTTCTCAAGCCTTGGGGACCCCCGAGCAAAGGAACCGAGATGGGCCAAGGTGGGCTTCTCAGAAGGCCTCTCAGGTCCCAGCCAGCGGCAGCCTGCTCACAAGGGCTGGCCAGTCCACTCCTCCCTCAACCGCCCCAGCAGGCTGTGTCCCCAACACAGGGTCCCCATGTCGCCTGCAGCATGCTCTTCCCCTGAAATCCCAGCCACCAAGGAAGGAGGGAGGGGAGCCCTCGGGCACAGGCAGCCACCTACTTGGGTCTCTCGGTCTTTGCCAGCTCGGGTGCCCATGGCGCGGTTCAGCTGGAGGCTGTGCCCTTCACCCCGAGCCCGGGGTGGGAGCATGCGTGGAGCCTGGAGAGCCCTGGCCCAGCCAGGAGTCCAGCGTCCAAGCCAGAGCGGCTCGAATGGCAGCTGAGCCACCAGCCCTCCTGCCCCCGATCAGATCGAGGGGATGTGCAGGGAACTCTGCAGAAACGTCCCCAGGGAGGCCATGTGGGGACCAAAAGGCCACAGTTGCTAGGAAAAGCTGAGCTGTTGCCTGCAGAGATGGGGTTGCTAGGTAACCATCTGCGTTACCAGGGCCCTGGCGTCATCAGTGACCTGTGCCTCTGCAGAGTGGCCGAGAGCATCCTTCCCCAGACAGCAACAGCCCCGCTCTGCTGGCTCGGGCTCTGGCCTGGGATCACTTGCTCTGTCACCACAGCATCTGGTGCCTCCCCGAGTTTAAAACTCTGGGTGGGCATTTGGGCACATGTGTGTGCGGGTGGGCTGTGCGTGCATTCCTGTACATGTAGGTGCATGGACTGCCCGGCCAGGGCGTCTGTGTGTACCATGTTCTGAGAACGTGTATACCGCTAGAGCGTGGGCACATGGAAAGCAGTTTATCACTGGCCTTTAAGGGTCATTTTGGCTCAAGAGCAGTGGCAATAAAGGGACTTTGGGACCTATCTGTTAGGCGCACAGGTATAGCCGGGGAGTGGCCTGGAGCTATGCACTCTTCATAGAGGCAGGTTGAAGGCAGGGGACACAGCAGTCTGCAATGACCAAGATCGATGGCACCATGGTCCCCACCTCGTGGAGTGGGGTAACAGTGGCAGGGACCCAGAACACAGAATTAGAGAAGCAGGCTTAGTGTTTGTAGAAAACTAAGTTCACAAGTCAGAGACGCCTGCGGATGAGTGGACGGCCTTCAAGAGGTCATGAGCCCCCTGTCATTGGAGGTAAGCAAGTAGAGTTTGGGTGGCTTCCTGCCAAAGTTGGAAGAACTGAGCCAGGGTGGACCAGGAGCTGAGGACCCCCCAGCATCCAGCTCCGAAATCCTGTGCTGGCCTCTTGGTTTAACTGTTTCCTGACTGGGACTAGAAGTGACCTCTGTGGCGACAAGAGCCCCAGTAACCACCAGCAGGGCACTATTCCAGGTGAGGCCCCACCACACCCATCTCTGTGAGGGACAGCTCAGGGAGGAGGGCGTCACCCTCTCCCCAGCTCTCGGTCACCTCCCTGCCCTCTAATCTGGCCCTGGGGCCCCTCCTGTCTCCCCGCTCACTCCCGGGTATCTCCTCCATGACCCACTTCCCACTCCTCCCTGCTCCAGTGTCCACTCCCCCAGCCATCGTCCCTCTGTCCGTCCTCACTGCTGTCGGCCCCGCCCGCCCCAGCGCTCCTTTCTCAGCTCCATCTGTAAACGTTTACTTGGACTGAGTCCTTGGGCTGAAATCTGTGTAGATGCAGACGAGGATTCGGCCCCGAGTGGACAACAGGAGACCTCGGGCAGCCTTAGGAGGTGTCGAGACAACATGGGATCGTTGGGGGCGGGGGACAGTCTTGGATGTGTTAATAAGAGGGGAGCCCACTGCACGGTCCACGCATGCATTCATCTCTTCTATTAGTCCATTTATTTAGTGCCTACTGTGTACCAGGCACTGTTAGTGGCCCAGGAGCTCCCTCTGGAAACCCTCCCGTGGCTGTGCCCATGAGGGTCACAGAGGCGCACACCTACAAGGGTATTGGCTGCACTTGGATCCCTCAAAGGCCCATGCTAAAGGCTTGGTCCCCAGAGTGGCCCAATTGGAAGGTGGAACCTTTGAAAAGATAGGACCTAGTGAAAAGTCTTTGGATCTCTGGGGACATGCCTTTGAAGGGGACAGTGGGACCCTAGCCCCTTCCTCTTTCTCCCTCTTTCTTCTCTGCCATGAAGCGAAGGCTTTTGGTCCACTACACACTCCTGCCATGATGAGGGGACCAACCAACCATAGACAGAAACCTCTGAAATCCCGAGCCCCAAATAAACCTTCTCTCTCTACCTAAGTCGATTATCTCAGGCATGTTGTTAGAGTAACAGAAAGCGGACAGCACACAACATAAACGTCCATCAGTGGTGGGCAGGTTAAATAAATCATATATACTCAAGGATGGAACCCTACAGAGCTGTAAAAACGATAAGGATGATTTCCACCTACTGACTGAGGAAGGCCCTCAAGGTATGTTATTGGATGAATGCAGCAAGGTGCTGACAAGTTACATGGGCTAGATTTCCTTTCAGCCCCACCCCCCACAAAAAAGAATAGAGGGGGGGATGAGAGCATGGACATGCCCAGACTGTGTCTGGGATGGGCATCAGAACATGGTTCATGCCTGCAATCCCTGTGACTTGGGGACTGAGGCAGGAGGATTGCAATTTCAAGGTCAGCCTCAGCAACTTAGCAAGACCTTGTCTCAAATTAAAAAATAAAAAGATGTGAGGTTGTGACTCAGAGGTAGAGCACCCCTGGGTTCAATTTCCAGTACCCAAAAATAAAGAGCCAGGTGTGACCTATGGGATGGGGGCCGGGCTTGGCTGCGGCTCTGTGGCCTCTTGGACCTGGGGATTGGGCACGGCACGCCTGCTACCTTCTGAAACGAGAACTGGCTCTTTCCGGGGAATTCTCGGACTCCCACCTGGGCGTCTCCACCACGGCCTTGTTCTCTTTCCCGTGAGCTGGAAGCCTCTCCATCTCCTGGGGGCTGGAGCTGCAGTCCTGCTGGGCATCCTCCCAGTGAGACTCAACATCTTCCAGGATGAGGTCGGGCTCCTGTCGCTGCGTGGCCAGGATGCCAACTGCAGGGCACACAGGAGAAGCCACCTGTGAGACTCCCGCAGGGGACCCAGGAGTCTCAGGGAGCCCGGGCGGGAGCCTGGCCGTCTCCAGTAGCACCTCAGCTCCTGAACGAGTCCAGGGAAATGCGCTGTGGCCGGTGGGACTGGTTCCACCGCATCCGAGCTCAAGCGACGCGTTGAAGCCTGACCGTTGGCCGGGCACCCTTCATTTCCCCCACTCTTTTCTCTTGAGACAGAGCTTTGACAAGGGCTGATCAGCTTGGTTTCTTTGCAGAAAGAATACTTCCAACCAGAGCGTGTGGGTCGTGCCCAAAAGACGTAGGAGTGGGGTCTGCCTGGCCACCTCGGTGCAGGGCAGCCCAGACGGTCTCCAGGGATGCAGAGTGAGCCTGCCCACCGCTGGCACTCTGGATGCCCAGCACTTGATCCCTCCCCTGCCTCCTGGGTCTAGAAACTCCCTCCCCACGGGAATTCAACTTTGCTGAGGGGCGGGGAATCGCAGGAATCTGTCATTTTAAACATCTCTCCATGCACTTGAATTCCTGACCGTGGGAACGCGGTGAGGTTGGCAGAAGTGGGTACAGGGGAGGCTCCTCAGAACCCCACCCCAGGTAGGTGTCTGGGAGAAAGGGGGAGACTCCCTGGATATCAGGTGTTCTGAAAAAGCTCCAGGGGTCTTGGTGGCCCTCAAGCAGAGCGTGAATTAGTGATGGTGACTTTAAATGAAAGCTGGCCCCAAGTCTTATCCTGTGATTTTGGAAGTTATTGCTCATGGTTCAGCAAACAACAACAATAACAGTAATAGTAACAGCAGTGGCATTCCTGAGTACTCCCGGGGGTCAGGCCTGTGTTCAGAGAGGACCTGGGTCCATTCCATTCGCTCTCACACGACCTCTTGAGGTGGGAAGAATGACTTTTATTTTATTTCCTCTCTTTTGTATTTGATTCCCATCTTACAGATGAGCAAACTGAAACAAAAATTATCACTTTCTTTTATGGGGTGCTTCGCATGGGCCAGGGCTGGGACTCCCAGGTTCCGGGTACAGATATTATCCCCATCAAACAGAGAAAGCACCTGTGTGTCCCCAGGGAAGCCCCCGCACGCACCCCGCACGCACCCCGCACGCACCCCGCACGCACCCCGCACGACCCGTCTCTGCAGTAGCTCCCGGACTTTGTCCTCCAGGAGACTCCTGGGGACAGGTTCCTGCCCGAGCACTGTAGGAGACAGAGGACAACACCCCCTGGCCTAAGAGCTTGTTAGCTGTCACAGCACCCCAAAGAGAACAGCACTCTCCCCATTTTATAGCCCAAACAGCCAGCCCAGAGAGGCTGGCCGACTTGTCCAAGGTCACACAGGAAGTTAGAGGCAGAGTCAGGTCTCCTGATGCCTGCGTCCCTAGCACGCCATCCCAGGTGGTAAATATGAGAGCCTCAGCGGGGCCCTGGCCACCTGTCTTGGAAGCACCCGTCCCCGCCTGGATGGTGCTCTAGGAGGGAGCGATCCCTGACATTCCCTCTTTCCTTTAAGGCCTGCCCCAGACTGTCCCTAATTTACAGCCAAAGATGTGACAACTCTAAGAAGGTGGTGCCCACGGCCACCGGCCAGGAAGGGAAGGGATGGGAGCGCGTGCCCCTCCCTGCAGGCTCCCCACCTCCCAGGGCCCCACCCAGGAGCGCGGGCTGCCCTGTCTGCGGTGAAGCTTCGCCCCTGGATTCCCTCTGGGCACCCCACCTCGTGGCCGGTGACCTCTCCCCCCTCAGGACCTTCACCTGGGGCTCTGACCCGGGCCAGGAAGGCCAGCGGCCCCACCCAAGAAGGCGCTCCTGCTTCCAGGGCCCGGGAGCCCAGGTGCATGGGATCCGGGGCAAGCCCCCACCGGGACCCCAGGTCACTGGCAGAGCTGGGGCCGTGGTCCCCGCTCCCTCGGCCTCTCCCTAGTGCAGGCCACCTCTCCGCTCTGGCCCCAAAGCACTGACCTTTCACTCACTGGAAATTCCTCAAAGTAGGCTCGCAGCCGTCCCTCATCCCCAGAATCATGGAGGGGGATTCTGAGGCCACTATTCTAATCTGAGGGTGGACACTCTTCAGAGTTGCCCCCAGTCGCTCCGCGATGCCCCAGAGTAATCTCTGGGAAGTCACTCCTCTGCTCAACCACACTCCATGGCTCCCCACTGCCTATAACCTAGCTCACCTAAAGTGAGGCCCAACTGTCCTGCTTAACCACGAAGGGCTGTGGGCTACAGATGGCCGGGTGTCACCCCCCACCCCGGGGACCCACGCAGCCTCCCCCTCGCACCTCTAGATTTTCCTCCCTTTATTCCCTCTCCTGGGGTGGCCCTGTCCTTGGGGGTCTCAAACGGAGGATACAAGAAGAGACAGCTGCCACCTACCCAGAGTCTCCCAGGGTGGCAGGGAAGCCAGACATTCTACACAAAGTCACCTGAACAGTAAATGCTGGCAACGGATTCTAATTTTTCAAATCACCGTTGGCCCCAACAAAGACGTCTATGGGCCACCTGGGACCCCAGGACCCCTAGCTAATTCCTCCTGCACCCCAGACGGCAGGCCACAGCCCTCTCGGCCCACCCACTTTTAAAATCTCACCAGTGCTGCAGCCCGACCCTAGGCAAGGACGGCGGCCACCACAGGGCTGAGGTGCATGTTTAATGTTGATTTCAATGTCACTGTCCCCCGGCCTGCCCAGAGAGACAAAGTGGCCAGGCCTTAGGAAACCACTTCTGGGAAAAGTGTGTCCCATGGGGGTTGAGACAGAGCCAGTGCCACACGGGGCTGTGGAGGGGTCTTCTCAGAGGGCTTTCCATCGCCTCCCACTGAGGAAGTCCCCCTGCCGTCTAGCCTGAATCTCTCAGGCTGTCCTTGGCCGACCTGCCCCTTGAGTTGGCCTGGGTCCCGCTCCCTTGCCAAGTGTCCTGAGAGGAGGCGGCTGGGGAGCTGGTGGGGCCGCCTCTGGCTCTCCTTGCCCTGCCTGGGAGCGTGGGGGAGGGCCAGCGGCTCATTGACCCCGCAGGGAGGGGTCCATGGCCACCTCCTGCCCTCCACCCCCTGAACGTCTTCTCCTCCGGGCGTCCTTCTTCCCTTCCATCCATCCATCTGTCTGTCCATCTGTGCTCTCCCAGGTCCCCTTCTCCCTTGTCTCAGAGGCCGCCAGCTGCCGCCACCCCTGAAACAAAGGAGGAGTCAGTAGGGCAGGCAGCCAGGGGCAGACAGAGGGCACGGACGGACGGACGGAGGGACAGATGGAAGGGAAAGCTGTGGACAGGGCGGGGAGGAGAGGAGCTCCTTCCCCATGTAGTGGGTTCCTAGTGTCCCCCCAAAATGATAAGTTCAAGTTCTGATCCTATTACCTGTGAATGTGACCTTATTTGGAATAGGGTCCCTGCAGACCTGATTAAGGATCTCAAGAGGCGATCATCCTGGATTTAGGGTGGCCCCTAAATCCAGTACCTGACATCCTTGCAAAGGACAGCAGACACAGAGCAAGACACAGAGCGAGTCCACGTGGGCACTCACGCAGGGTCGGGGGATCAGCTGGAAGCCAAGGAGCCCAGGTGTGGCCTGCAGCCCCTGAGGCCAGGAAGAGGAGAGACAATGTCTCTCTCAGAGCCTCAGAAGAAACCCACCCTGCAATGCCTTGATTCTGGACTTCTGGCTTTCAAACTGCTGCCTTAAGCCCCTGGAATGTAATTGACTGTTGTTTGTTATGGCGGCCCAGGAGGAGGACCTGCCCAGGCTCCAGGCCCCTACATGTGTCTGTCCCCATTGTTAGGCCTGGTGCCCACCTGTCACCTGCCCACTCTGGGAACTGCAGGAGGCCCTGCCTACAGTGGGCTGAGAATTCTGAGTCCTCCCAGAGGAGGAGAGGAAGACAAGAGGGGGTCCAGGCTCCAGCCCCAGGGGACAGTGTGGGTCCCTTTAACTTTGCCTGACTGAGCAGCTGCTGTCGAGCCAGAGTCCGGTTACTACCCCTCCATACTTGCTCTGTGACCCTGGGCAGGTGCCTTGAGTTCTCCGAGCTCTTGTCCCCCACCTGCCCCAACTGCCATAGAGGTCCCCTCTCTTCATGCTCAGGGAGACCGTGGGCTCCATGAGAGACTGGGCCCGTCCTTCCCAGAGGCCGGTGGGCTCTGCTGCTCCTTGGGTTGCTGTCACGGCCACCATGAACCCTAACACCTCTCATGGCTCGTCCACCAGACCCAAGCCCCGCAGTCAGCCATTTGTCTGTGTCCCAAGCCACAGTGGTCACCCCCAGCTTCAGAGAGCTCGCCCTGGGGTTGGACACAGCATTATAGCACAGCGGAAGTGTCCCTGGGAGAGCCTGACCTAGGGTCAGAGAGCCCATGTCCAGGACAGAACAGGGGCTGCCGCTGCCCAAAGGCCCGGCCCGTAGCGGGCTGCCCACCATCACTGACTTAGTGGATGCGTGAATGGCCACGTGGCCAGAGGCCGGGGAGCAAAGCAAGAGCAGATTCGGCTCCCAGCACACCCAGAGGGACCTCAATCTCTGTCGCCCAGTCCTGGCTTGGGGCTGGGATAAAAAGGCACCAGCTGCAGGTGAGGGACAGCCTCCCTGCCCAAGGGTGGACCAGCCAATGGGATCTGGTTCCCTCAGGGACGCCCGCCGCTCTCCCTCTCCCCTCCTGACCAGAGCCATCTGCCAGCAGGAAGAGGGCCCATCTGGTTTGACTTTGGGACTGTTTCCTCTGGACAGAAGCCAGGAGCCAGGCCCTGGGGGCCTCCAGCCCCCGCCAGGCTCCGGCTACCTGGACCCGCTGAACAGAGATGGCGCCTGCAGGGCAGGGGTCTCTCTGGGCTCCAGGTCAGGAGGCCCCCGTTAACCCCCCCCTCAGACCCTAGGATACCAAGCCACCCTCCTGGGAGGCACACGAGAACCCAGAAATGCAGCACTTACTGGTCTGCGCGTCACACGTCTCCGGGCAGCCAGGCTCCTGTGGGGAGAAAGGGGGGTCACCATGGCTGCCTCCTGCCTCCCCGCTTCACCCCCCCACCCGCTGGCCTCCGTGTCAGATCCTCCTCCCACCCTCCCCGGAGGGCCGCCTCCAAGCTCCCAGCTCCTCCAAGGCCTCTCACCAGGGGAACCCACTTCCCCAGCCTCCTCCCGGGGGCCCTGTGACCCTGTGAGGACATCCTCATCCGCTAACTGCCACCCAGCCCCGTGTGTCTTGGAAAACCGGGTTGTCGCACTTCCTCTGCAGACCCGAGGCGTGGATAGCCTGTTTCCTGCCCACTTCCCTCCGCACGGGAACCAGCCTTGGAAGAGGGCAGGATGTGCCCGGAAGCCACAAGAGCCTGGATCTGGAGTTGGAACTCCAGCCACGTGTGACCTTGGCTGGCCACTGTAGGCCTCAGGTGGCCCATAGAGGACCCTGCTGTGCCCACAGACCATGAGGGAATTGGGAGAGGGGCTTTGAGGTTCAGCCTTGGCTCAGTGAGGCAGGTGGGGAGGTGGTCCCCAGACAGCCACAACAAGGGTCTCCGCTTGGAGGAGCCAGGCTGGGTCCTTGAGTGACCCAGAGGCCCTGAAACCCGCCAGGCCTTCCTGTCTCCTGGGCCTACACGCCTTTGCTTACAGAGTTCTTTCCTGCCTTCTCACACCCCTGGGGAGTGAGCCACTGTCCGCTCCTCGCTCAGGTGGGACAAGGGGGCTCTGAGAGGGCCATGGCCACACTCACACAGCCTGGACTGAGGTTAGGCCTTCCACTCCCAGCACAAGCGCTTCTATGGAAATGTCCAATTGTCCCCCCAAAAAGAAAGGCCAGGTCCCGGGATCTTGGGGAAGGAAAGACACAGTGACAGAGGCCTTGCTCCCCCACCCCCCACGTTGGTGTCCTAGGTCGTCAGTTCTGCACACGGGACCTGCTGGTTTCCTGTGAACCCCACTTCTTCCCAGGACAGTCCAGGCCTCTCTTGTCACTGGGCCTTGGAGCATGCTTGGAGGTCACCTCTACTGGGCAGCTTTCCTTGCTGCTCCCAGGAGGCTCCACCTCTGAGTCCCTCTCTGCTCCCCACATGTTCCCAAAGGACTGTGAGGCCCTGGCAGTGGGCTGGGCCAGCACGTCTCAGCCGGTGGCCACAGAGCCACAAAGGGTCTGGGTGAAGTGAACATGGGCTTCAGACAGGCAGGCTGCAGGGCCTGGGTTCTCACGGTGGGTGTCCCCACCTCCAGGGCCCAGGCCAACCACCCCATCCTTCCCTGAGCTCCCAAGGTCCCCCTCCCCCACTGGCCAGGACCCACTCCCCGGGCCCAGCACTGACCTGCTCCCGGCTGTTCCCAGGGAGCACCGGCTGCGGCAGGGCCTTCTTCAGCCTGTGTAGGAGCCACGCTAGCAACCTGCGGGCAGAGCGGGCTGTGTTCCAGCGGGAGAGCCCCCCACCCCGACCCCCGGGAGACTAGGCCACCGCCAGCTCCCTCCACAGGTCAACAGCAGGCCTGCCAGAGCCCAGCCGTGTCTCCAGCTCTAAAGACCCTTTCCTCCCTCCCCTCCCCATCCCCCGGGGGGGCTCTGCTTGGTCCTAGTAGGCAGCTCGGGTACCCCCCCACCCCATCCCCGGAGCTGCACTTCCGCCCTCTCACACTCTGCCCGGGTGCTCGCCTTTGGCAGCTCTCATCCGGATTTGTTGTTGTTGTGGTACCTGGGGGCTGAAGCCAGGACCGTGCACACCTAGAAAAGCCCTCCACCACCAGCTCCGTACGTCCCAGGCCACCACCCAACCCGGTTTTGACTGAATGTCGCCCTTAGCCCAGCAGTTCCCTTCTCACGATTTATTCTAGAGAGTTACTTGGGCAGGAGCCCCAGGAGGCATGGACAGGCTCTGACCGCAGCACAAGGGTGGAAACAAAGTCATGTCCACCGCGTGGTTAAATCAAAGCTGTGCGTCCACCTGATGGAGCACCACCCGGCTAGTGGAAGAACGGAATGCAGCTCTGTGCACAAACCCACCTCCAGGATGCATTTTTAAGTGAAAAAGCAACATGCAGATTCCTGCCTACAGATCACCCTTGCTAGGTGTGTAGTTAAAGGAACGGCGTCCTCACCTGGGGAAGGGTGTACCTGGGGAAGGCAAGAACCCGGGGTTGCCCTGGGAGGGACTTGGAGAGTCGGTTGAATTTTCTCCCTGGCGCATGTGTTAATTCCATGATTCAAAATGCTACTTTTGTGAAGGTGGGGTGTTGGGCTGGGGCCAGGCACTGACGGTGCTCCCCGAGGTGGGGAGAAGACATTTAGGGGGGGCTCACCCGGCAGAGTGCGCAGGTGGCGGCAGGGAGGAGGTCTGGAGGCTGGGCTGGGGCTCTGGAGCCGGCTCCTCCTCGAGACTGGTCACACAGGCGCTCTCGGGGTCCTGCGGCGGCGTGGGCTCCGTCTCCAGCGGGGGTTCTGGAGGCTCTGAGCAGGGGGAGAGCAGGGGCAGAAGAGCCCACAGCAGGGCTCCACCTGGCCCCTCCAGGCCTCAGGGGGTCAGCTCCAAAGCACTAACGTGACCAGGCAGGGAGACCCTTGGACCACTCCAAACACCTCTAGCATGGAAAAGAGCAGGGAGAGGGAGGGACTTCCAACGTCTCACAGGATGAGTGAGACCTGCCCCTAGTCTCAGGCTCCCCGGCTTGGACTAGGGAGGGGGCTCCAGTGCCTCCCACAACAATCCACTCCCAAAAAGGCCAGAACTGCTCTCTGACCCAGATGAAGACCAAGGGTCTCCCTGAGATCCCCGGGATTCCCCCAGCCCAGCCCATAACCACCCAAGCAGCCCCTCCCAGGCCCCTCTCTGTACCTGGGCCCAGGACAGCACCTGCAGGCTCAGCAATCAAGCCCTGGACGGCAGGTGGGGGGCAAGGACAGTGGTAAAAGCTCTGCACTTGCCCCAACCTGGCCAGCGGTCCCTGACCTGAGGCCAGGGCGGAGGGCTACCATGCCCCCAAGTCTCCCCACCACGGCACCCTGGGCAGTGACTCCTCCCCATTTAGGATGATCCCAGGAGGGGTTCACCCCTCTTGGACCCCTGGGGGAGAAACTGCTGGAATAGTCAGTCCCCACCCCTTGGGCTCCCAAATTCTCCCAGGTGGCAGCTGAGGTCCCTCCTACCGTCCACTCACCTTAGCGGGTGTCGGGGGTTGAGGTAGCATTTTCTCCAGGTTCTGCTCCAGCCACCTGAGCAGCCATGGGCTGGGCCTAAGGAGGGCCAGTGACCTAAGGGAAGGAGCCAGGCACACTCTCCTGACTGCCCACCAGCACTTCCTGGCCCTGGGCAGTGGGACCTTGTACCGGATGCTCTCAAAGGGCCCCATGGTGGTGGGGAAGCTGCCAACCTCAACTGCAGATTCAAGGCTGGACCCGGCTCTGCCCCTGACCCAGCTTTGGGCTCTTGGGCAGCAGGGAGGAGTAGGAGATGCCGGGATGCAGCCTGGGGGTGGGCTCCGTGGCTGGCATGGACAGGAGTGGCTTCACGGGAGTGTGACTGTGTAAACACGGGACCCCATATTTAGAAGTTTAACTATGTTTAATGCACTATTGCCATAAACTGAAAATTATTCATCATTTTAAAGGGGTCCTGCGTTTTTATTTTACGTCGATTATGCAGCTGGCCCCAGGGGCAAATATTGGGTCCAAATCTATCTGGACTCCAGAAAGCCCCCACCTCCTGAGGGAAGCTCCAGGCCCTAAAGAAAGCTCGCAATCTGGGCACTTTTCCAATGTCTGTTCAGCATTGACGGTGACCAGTGGCCCTACCTAGCACATGAAGCCCTGGACTAGCTCCCTGACTGGGAACCTGCTCTCAGGTCCCCTGGTGAGAGCTCTGTCTTGTTTCTTCTCACTTCAGTAAATCCTACCCTTTCACAAAGAAGAAGAAGGAGGAGGAGGAGGAAGAGGAGGATGAAGAAGAAGAAGAGAGGAAGAAAGGAAAAGGGGAAACAACATGAAGAAAAGCCTGGAACGTCCTCTACGTCCACTCATTCATCTGGTTATGTGTCCCCTGGGTGCCGAGTCCTTAGTCTATGATGCCAGGTACCATGCTGGGCACCAGGGCTCTGCAGTGACCAGGACAAAAGCCCCTGCCCTCCATGGGCCTGCAGTCTAGGGAAGGAATGAGTGAAGGGGACTGGAGTTGAGTGTCTGACTCTGAAATTCCAGGAAAAATCAGAAACTGGAAGTTTCAGGCTCACGTTGGGGACCCACAGCGTCCTGAAAGCATCTCAATTAGTTGGCTACACCCAACAATTACAGATGGTACATAAAAATCTATATTTCTAGCTTTTTCGTAAACCAGAGGCCCTTGCCACAGTGGGCCTGCAGTTAGAAGGGGTTGGACCTGTTCAGGACCCCTCCCGCCCACACCCATCAGCTCTGCAAAGTCGAACTGGGTTGCCAACATGAGGCTGAACAACCGAGGACCCCAGTGTCCCCCAGGGCGGTTCAAGCCCTGCTTCCAGTGACCACGACAGGGACGTACCTGGTATCCTGGGCCCCGGGGAACTCACTGGATCCACCTGCAGACCCTGCGGGGTCAGAAAACAGAGACAGGCAGGGAGGGAGGCATGGGGAGGCAGCTCTGTGAGGGCCAAGCGGCAGCTGGCTGGAGGACGCAGGTCTGGGGTGCAGCAGGGCGAGCAGACAGTGACCGCCCACCTCGAAAAGCTAGAAAAGGGGCCTGGGACACTTTCACTGCCACGAGGAAGGAATGACAAGTGCCAGAGGGGACAGAGAGGCTTCACCTGATTACACGACGTGCACATGCATTGGAACAGCACAGGACACCTCATTCGTAGGCACAGACCTTGAATTTGTGTGTATTCGTTTAAAAATAAGTTCAATTTTAAAGATTTAAATGCATCCACAAATTTCCAATAAAACATAACATCAGGCCAGATGTGGTGGCACACATCTGAGATCCCAGCCTCTAGGGAAGCGAGGCGCTAAGCAACTCAGTGAGACCCTGTCTCTGAATAAAATGAAAAGTGGGGCTGGGGATGGGGCTCAGTGGTGGAGTGCCCCTGGGTTCAATCCCTGGTACCCAAAATCAAAACAAATCATGAAATCAATGGGAAGAGAGGGAGGAAGAAAGACAAGGAAGGAGAGAGAAAGATGGGCAACGGCAAGGGACGTGCCCAGAGCCCTAGGTCAGCCTCCAGCAGGCACCAAGGGACCTCTCGCACTCAGGCCAGAGCCCAGGCCCAGTCAATGAGAAGCCCTGGCCCAGGTGGCCTCTCCCTGGTGGCCAAGGCCATCCCAACAGCCTCTCAACCCTGAGAGCCGACGCCTCTTGGTCTTACCTGTGTTCCCTGTGCCATGGTGCCCAAGGATCTGTGCTTCATCCTGCAGGGGACAGACAGGGAAACATGGCAGGGAACCCAGGCCAGGCTGCCCCCAGCGGGCCCTCCTCCACCGCCAGCCCCAGCACTACCTGAGCCGGGGCCTCCGTGCCGGCCACTGTGTGGGCTGCCCTGCCGTTGCAGACGGGCTGTGGTACCACCTTCTCCATGCCCTTCCTGAGCCAAGTCAGCACCCAACCGCTGGGACTGTGGGGGACAGAGACACCATCCACCCTCAACACCCACCCCAGGGTCCAGTGACAGTTCATAGTATCCCAAGGGACTTGGCTTGAATCAAACCCAGTCTGCACCGTGAGACTTCAGGCATATCACCTTCCTCCTGAGCCTCTTGTTTCTCTCTAAAAAGTGGGCCCGTGCTGGGCGTGGTGGCGCACACCTGTAATCCCAGTGGCTCGGGAGGCTGAGGCAGGAGGATCATGAGTTCAAAGCCAGCCTCAGCAAAAGTGAGGCACTAAGCCACTCAGTGAGACCCTGTCTCTAAATAAAATACAAAATAGGGCTGAGTATGTGGCACAGTGGTCAAATGCCCTGAGTTCAGTCCCTGGTAACCGCCCCCCCAAAAAGGAAAGGAAAATGGGCCCACTATGCCCAGTGCCTTTGGAGTCCACTCTCAGGCTGCTCAGAACAGTAGGGCCAGCCTCTCCTCCCCACATCCCTGCTACAGAAGGGTCAGGCTTCCTGTGGGGCATGTCTCTGGAGGCCTGGGCTGGCCAGCCTACACCTGAGGGTCCCAGACTCCCAGCCTGGGCCGGCCCCAGCCCCAGAGCTGGCTGGTTAGACGAGCATCATGGGCTAATACGTCTGAGCCATTCGGGAGATTCCATGCACAGTCTAGATTTCTGGCTTCACTGGGAGAATAAGACTTTGGCTCTAGGGTAAAAGTATCACCCCTGAGATACTTCTGGCCCCTCAAAGAGGGTACCCATTATACAGCTCTCCGCCTCCATCTCTCTTGGTCACAATGACCATCTGGCCCAGGAGACCCTCCACCTAATGGCTCAGAATGACTACAGACCAAATGCCTGTCCCCCCTGCCACCCCCCCGTGGCTCCCCGGGAGGGAGTGGCGGTCCCAGCCCCAGGGAGTGGTGATGGGGGGTGCAGTACCTGTTCACGTCAGGAAACTCCGCAGCCTGGGCCTGGAGGGCTGTGGGCAGAGGAGGGGCATCATTCTGGGTCTCTGGAAGAGTCCCCCGACTTTAAATCTGGGCCCCCAGAGAGGGCCATTTCTACTCTGCTGGGGAGATCAAGTCAAAGGCAGGGGACAAGGGAAAATCCTAAGGATCAAAAGGCCTGAAAGTTCTCCAGGAGCCCACCCTGAGCCTCTGTAGGCCTCGGTTTCTTCATCAGTGAAATGGGCTGCCACAGCTCTGAGGGGAGAACTCAGCCTCCCTGCCCGCTGGGCGAGCTTCCAGCACTCACCCTGGAGGCCCGAGTCAGCCGCAGTCACTTCCTCCTCATCGGCTGGCTCTTCCAGGGGCTGGAGGGTTCAAACAGGACCACGTAAGCCCTGAGACCTGCCTGGTTCAAACAGGAGCCGCCTCTGGATCACCCACGAGGGACCCCCCACCCCCAAAGGACTGAACAACTCTATTCTACGATCATCTCTATAAGTTCTTGTGGCCTCAGATGCTCCCTTCCTCCTGGCCTCCGCGGGAAGGGGGGGGAGGGCTCCCCCAGGGCGAGGGCCTCACACCCCCTTGATGGTGGCCTCCCGGCCTCCCAGCCTCTCAGTCCTATCATCCCCCCACTAGAAGCTGCCCAACTTCAGTGGCCTGAGAAGAGGGAGATGCAGTGAAGTTATGAAGGCTGGGGGCAGGCTGAGGGGAAGGGAGAGGCAAAGGACGTCCCCTCATCCCAGCCAGGGCCCTCTCTCCTCTGGCCTGAATTTCCCATTCCTCTCTAGCAGCTGGGTGGAGTCCAGCTCTGCCATCTGCCTCTCACCTGCCTCTCACCTGCCTCTCACCTGCCTCTCACCTGCCTCTTACCTGCCTCTGCAGCCACACGTCCAGCTACTGCATCAACTGTATATACGCATAGACAAGCACACATGCACATACACACACAAATGTGCACACACACTTACATGGATTCTGTATATGTACAGACACACAGATATGAATGTGTGCACCCTTGCATAATCCAGTAACACATAAACATACACGTACAGGTCAGTGAATACACACGTGAACACATGTACGAACAGAATCTATGCACATATACATTTGTGCATATGTACACTGCATAGTCCAATATATACACATGTGCACATGCAACCACGTGCATATACACACATGCACTCAGGCACACAGATACAAATTGATTGTTTCTCAGTCAATCTAGTGTGTAAACATACAGACATGAGCATGTGCACACAGATAACATTTGCACATATAAAGACAAAGGAGCACATCCTTTGAGCATGTGTATACACATGCTCAGTAGCATAAACAAGCATATGCACATGCTCATATTTGCATAGAGGTACAAACATGGATAAATACATGTATACTTGCACATATACCAACTTCAGCATGTAACACACATGAATATACATGTTCACACAGAGGATGTGTATATACATAGAGAAAGGCAAATATGTGAATGCATATGTTTATAAACACCCAAAGGTGCATACATAAATAAACATGAATACATTCCCATACTCAGAAACATGCTTATGCACAGTAGTATGTCACATACACACGGAACCATATATACACTAATACATGTGCACATACATGAGCACCTGTGTGTACACATACATATAGATGCACACAGACAATGGCATGCATGCCCAAGCTGCAAATATGTGTTACACACAGATATCACACCAAGGACACACTACACACATGCATACACACGTAGACACATACATACACACAAATCCTATAGCTGTTTCCTAAATATGCCCTTCACTACTGCAGTAAGGGCCTTTCTCTGACAGGAACAACCCATCTCTCCATCTCCAACAGTTAAGATTCTGCCCCAGCCTCTGTCTAGGAAGCATCCCCCACCAGCTTCCAATCTCCAAAGCGAAGGTGACTCTCTCCTGCACTCCCCTAATTCCCAGTCTGACACATTTATTTGGCCCTGCCAGAAGGGTAGAGCTGAGACCAATGCGGAGGCTGGCCACATGGCCTCACCAACCATCTCCTGGCAGAATCAGCTGGCTAGGCACTCGTCTGCTGACCCCCAAAGCAATGCCTTATCCATCTGTATGTCTTCAGCACTGAGCACAGGCCCAGCATCCATTAGAAGCTAAATCAATTCCATTTAATTGAGCTGCTAAATTACTTGTCACCCAGTTCCTGAATGGATGGGATGCAGAACTGGCAAGCTTTTCCTTCCAAGATACGCTTGAAGGAAAATTCTAGAGAAATTCCCCTCAAAACGTGGGACATGAACCAGTGCCAGTGTGCAAAGTGCTCTTGGTTCGTGATGATTAAACAGTTGCACCAGGATGTGTATTAACTCCCTGTTTCTTAATCAAGAAGACCTCACTACAAAACAGACACCAGCTGAACTCAGCAGTGTACTTGGCTACACAGTAGATCTACATTCTGGATCAAGTTCCTAATGTCATCCTGGACTGATAACAAATAGTTCGATAGCTGGCTACTTGGAGTGGCTCTGCTCTAGGATGTTGGTAAAATATGGTCCGTGGGCCATATCAAGACCATTGCTTGATTTTAAATAAAGTTTTATTGGAACACAGCCATGCTCATTTGTTGATGCATTATCCATAGCTGCTTTCACACTATAATGCCAGAGATGAGTAACAGAGATGGCATAACCCACAAAGCCTAAGCTAGTCACTGTCTGCTCTTCTGGAGAAACAGCCTCAGGCAAGCACTGTACAGTCTTTGGGCCTGAGCGTCCACCATGTTTCCTTCTGACCTCACCTTTTTCTGTAGTAAAAGGTCCTTGGGGAGCAGGTGGGCCATGCCAGGAAGTCCCTGAGCACAAGGGAGCCTGCCCTCCCCCACCCTCTGCGGCTATTTGAGACTCTGGCTCTGGTTTTACCTCCGGTTCCAGCTCTAGCTCCGACTCCAGTTCGGCTTCTTCCTCCTCCTCTTCCTCCTCCATCTCTGTCTTCTGAGGAGTTCCTGGGGGCTGAGGCAGCACCTTCTGGACCCAGCCCAACATCCTGGTACCTGTAAATGACAATCCTTAGGCCAACCCAGAGTGCTCACCGTCGCTGCCAGCATCTAGGGGCCACTTTTATGGGATACACATTTGCTTTCTTGCTCATCATTAAAAAAAATATATTTCTGCAATTGTTTCTCCAGATATTTACTTTATAGACTGACTCAAGACCATACACAAATGTGCAGGAAGAGGCCAGTTGCAATAGTGTTACGGCAAAAGATGAAAAATACCCAAATATCCATCAGAAGACTGGTTATTGGGAAGTACCTAAGAGTTCATCTGTAAGAGGAGCACATATGAGTAAATTATGGGATATCAATACTGAATATATAGACCCATTAAAAAGGAAGAGGCAAATCTGTTAGAAATCACCAGAGAAGACGCACAGGGAGCTGAGCCATGAGAAGATCAGTTAGACTCTCTGTGCCTTGTAAAATGGGTGCACTGATGTCTTGGGAGCCTGAGGCAGAAGGATCACAAGTTCAAAGCCAGCCTCAGCAATTTAGCAAGGCCCTAAGCAACTTAGCAAGGTCCCATCTCAAAATTAACAATTTAAAAAAAGAGGGGGGCACTGGGGATATGACTCAATGGCTAAGCATCCTTGGGTTCAATCCCTGATACAAAAAAAAAGGCACATAGGTCTAGGCTGTAACTCAGTTGGTGAGTGCTTGCCTCGCATGCACAAGGCCCTGGGTTCAATCCCCAGCATCACACACACACACAAAAAGGTACATAGATAGTACCTACCTCATGGGCAGAGGAAGGTACAACAAATAAGTACAACATATCAAAACAGCGAGCTCCGGCACAGGCCCAGGGCTTCCTAAATGTTGCCCATGGCCACTCTGTGATATCTAGTGAAGATGCCAATCGTGGAATATCATGTACTGCATAACTGCATAATCTCATAATAAATTAAAGTATACTTTGTGATTAACATAAGAATGGAAAATCTGTTCTGTTTAAGATAACATTAACCAATATTCATGATTTTTTAATTTTTAAGATAAAATGCGGGGCTGGGGATGTGGCTCAAGCGGTAGCGCGCTCGCCTAGCATGCGTGCAGCCCGGGTTCGATCCCCAGCAGCACCACATACCAACAATGATGTTGTGTCCGCCGAGAATTAAGAAAAAATAAATAAATGTTAAAATTCTCTCTCTCTCTCTCTGTGCCCCCCTCTCTCTCACTCTCTCTTTAAAAAAAAAAAAAAAAAGATAAAATGCCCGATGGACCTTCTTTTTGGTTTATGGTGATTGGTATTCACACAATTCAGCCTCTGGTGCACTGTCTTCTGTGAATGAGAAGACCATGGGACTGTGAGACCGGACCCCTGCAGGATAGCCTGGCCCGGTCACCACCATACAGGTCAGGTCAACCCACCAACTCCCAGCCCTGGACGGCCCCTTCCAAGGCCAGGCTGGATGCCAGCCTGCTCCAGGCCATGTCCCTCCCAGCCCCAAGTTGGAAAGGGTAAACTCAGGCCCCAGGATCCCTGCCCCAGGATCCCTGCCCCAGCGCTCAGCTCCCCAGTGCCCTTGGCCACACCACCCTGACCTCTCTCCCTACTCTGGTCTTAGCAGCCACCTTCTCCCATGAGAAGCTGTGGTGGGGACGGAGCTCTGGGAAAGGAGTCAGATCAGCCTCCAAACAGGTGAACTCAGGCCAGACATGACCCCTCTTGTCTTCCGGGTCCCTGTTGGGTGGGGCACGTGGACCCAGTGATTTCCCAGACCCGGACAGCTCCAGGTCACACGTTTGGGGTCACAGATTCCACAGCAGTCACAAGCAGCCCTGTGGTACTCCACACAGTGAGGTCAGTATTTTCATATGGAGCACAAACGGGTCAAAGGTCGTGACGAGAGGGACCAAGCTGCGTTTGCACTCAAGTCTGCCCAAGTTCAGCTGCCTGTCCTCTGCCCGGCATCTGCCCCAGGGGCACTGTCGTTGCCAAGAGTTGGCCTCTTCTACGGGCCTGACCTGTAGTTCCTCTCCCGGCGAGCAACGACTGACTGTGAATCTTCTAGAAATGACTAGGGAAGCTGTCTCCAAGCCCTAGGGAAGTTTTCTTCTTCCCCTAGCCACTGCCCTTTCCTCCTGGATGGGAAGGAATGTGGGCAGCCCCACCCCCGCCCATCTTGCTGACTCCACTTTATGAGGGAGACTCAGGCCAGACAGGGACCTGGGAGTGGCAGCCCAGGGAACCATGGGATTGGATCACCAGCATTTTCAGTATCTTCGTGGAAGCTGGTGAAAATCCAGACTCCTAGGTCCCTCCAAATCCTCTGGGGAGGGTCCAAAAATCTGCTTTTCCCAAGCTGCCCCAAAGATCCTGACTCATGCTAAAGTCTCAGCCCTGCAGAGGAGGAAGGGGTAGACAGAGGGAAGCCTTGTCTTTTTGGTCCTGATTAAATGCCTTGTTAGAAGCTGAGCATGTGGACACCCTTGGGGTCCCACCAAGCCACCACCTCATCCTGAATTACCTGCTCAGATGCCAACTGCCAGCCAGGAATCACCTTCTCGCTGCCACTGTGGACTGGGGACTGGCCTCTGAGGCCCTGGGGGATTAACTGGCGGGGGCTGGGCCGTGTGCAAAGGATTAGCAGCAGGTGCCAAAGGGAGGGGTGGGTGGAAAAGAGATGATTGATGCCCAGGGAGCCACAGCAATCCCCGAGTGTCCAGCAGGGACCTGGGTCTAAATTTGGGGCCCTAAGGGTTGCCAGGGAACCCGCCCAGGTACCAGGGCCTGACTCCCCTCATACCTTGGCCAAGCCACAGTCTGACTCGCTGCCAGGAGAATAACAGTTTGGGGTCCTGTGTGGTTCTAGGAGACTCCTCGGGGTGACAGGAACTTGTCAACTCAGTCAGCAGGAGCAGGAGGTGTACCCCTGCTGCCCAGCCCCAATGCCAGGGTTCACAGTGTTGGGTTTTTTGCTTGTTTGTTTTTTCTGCTGTCTTCAATAGCTTGAGCTCTTCCAGAATGACAGGGCTCCAGGACTGAGACTTTAGATCAAATCTGCATTAGGAGGGTTTCTCCAGCGAAACTGAGCCAGTAGATTATGAAGGCTCGGAACTGGGGAGGCCAAAGTCAGAGGCCTCAGTGTCAGGGAGACGTGGAGGGCAGCCTGTGCAAGTCTCACAGTTCAAGGGCCCAGCAAGAGAAGACACGCCCACACAGGGAGGAAGGACCAAAGAATTCACCCATTCCTTCTCGTCCCTGTTCCATTCAGGCCCTCGTCAATCGTGTGATGCCCCCGCACTGAGGGCCCATCTCCTCCACCTCGGTCACCCATATGCCAATCTTCTTTGAAACACCCTCACAGACACACCCAGAAGTGGGCTTCACCGACTCTCTAAGCATCCCTAGTCCAGTCCAGATGACACCCGGAACTAACCATCACAGGATCCGAAGACTGGTGGGCAACTGGCTGCATCTGATCTGAACTGAGCTGGACCCCAGAGGGAGACAGAGACCTGGGGCTCCAGGGCTGCAGGGAACAGGGGCCAAGGGAAGAGGGAGGGGCTCAGCGAGGAGGCAGGACCTGGGTGGCAGATGGGGTTGGTGAATGCTCAGCAAAGGGCAGGCAGGGACTTGACCAGGTGCAATGTTTGGGGAGCTCTTCCTGCGCCCTGGGCAGTGGCCAGCCCGGGCGTGTTGAGCAGGACAGACTTAGGGCCTGCCCTCCTGGAGCCTGCATTCCAGGGGAGGAGGAAGAGAAGGACAAATTAAGAAATATGGCCAAGTATGCCAGAGCCACCAAAGAAACCACAGGACAGAAACGTGTCATGAGGGGCCCTGGGTGGGAGGCTCCAGGAAGAAGCAGATCTGTATTTGAGCTGAGACATGAAAAGCAAGAAGTCTCTGCCCTGAAAAGATCACATGGGCGGTGCTCCAGAGAGAGGACACTGCCGGGGGATAAGTCCCGAGGCCAGAATGAGTCTGGAGGAGCAGAAAGGGCACCAAGGGGGCAGGGAGTCCAGTGGGCACAGAGGAGTGGGGAAGGGTGGGAAGTGGGCGGGTGAGACCCCATAGGGCCTCTTGGCCACAGAAGGGTTTGGTTGATGGACCGTGGAAGTCCATGCCTGAGCTCACTGGAGCTGCTCAGCAGAACCCCTTACACCGGGGAATTAATAAACAACAGGAAGGTACGGCTCCCTGTTCCAGAGGTTGGAGCCCATGAGGCAGCAGATTTGGTGTCTGGTAAGAGTTTGCTCCCTACAGATGGTGCCTTCCATGTAGCCCCTAAAGGAGGGGTGAGCAAGCTCTCTCTGGCCTCTTTTATGAGGGCCCCGTCCCCTTCATGAGGATGTAGCCCCCTGCCCAATCACCTCCCGGAGGCCCCACCTCTCACCACTGTTGCATGGAGCTTAGGTTTCAGCATTGGGATTCTGGGGGGCTCACACATGTAGACCCCGGCCCCTGTGGTGGTGTTGAACACAAATTGGGCAGAATATGTGTGGCTGTTGTGGAGTAGGCAGGCGCGGGAGCAGGAACTGCTGAGGAAGTCCAGCCTGAAGAGGGACAAGCTAATCTGTGACAAGGTGACCCCTGGTTTCCCCCTCCAATGCGGGGCTTCAGGACTTTTGATAGGCAACACCCTCCCGAGGCCAGGACAAGGACAAACCCAGCGGCACAGTTCAAGGTGACCCCTGTCCTTCCCCCATAAACATGCCAGGCTGCTCCTCCGCACAGCACCTCCAACAGGACTCTGCAGGAACAGGAGCTCTTCCGCCCGCCTGGGCTGGTGAGTGGTCACCTGCGTAAGCAGTGATGGTCACCCTTGCCTCAGCCCTGATGGGGACAGACGACAGAGCTTGGACTAGGCTGGTGGCAATAAAGATAGGAGGAGGCGAAGGGAGGTGTTGGTTAAGCTTGGGCAACCGGCAACTTTTACCAAAAATGAGAGCCTGGGTCTGGAGGTGAGGAGGAAGAGTTTGGAGGAGAAAACCACTTCTGATTCGTTAAGTGCAGTAGGTAATGAAGTGTGTGTGTGTGTGTGTGTGTGTGTGTGTGTGTGTGTGTAGACACCCCAATGGTCCATGTATGCAAAGTTCAAGAGGTGAATGACCTGATGTACTTATGACTGCAAATATACCTAATAATACCATAAAGACAAGCTGCGATTACACTATAAGACGGGAACAGTTGCTTCTGGATGCCTGCCGCAGTCTGGCTTGGCACAATTCAGGAGCCACTTGTCAAAAGAAACTAACTTTATTTTTAGAACTACAAACGCCAAACAAAACAGCTCCTCAGGAAAAAACCCCTCAGAGCCCAACTGCCACCACCGGCTTCCACAAGCCTCTCACCCCCACACCAGCCTCTCCACCTCCCACAATCCTCCTGCTCTTGAGGCCGATTGGCTGGGTTGCGTGGGCAGAGCCAAAGAAGTCCCCCAATGAGCAGCTCCGTGGAGGAGCCAATCAGCTAGATGTTGCTGGGGCTGCTGTGAGCCAATCATCAGCCGGCAGCTGGAAGTTTGCTGGCAGCTGGAAGTTTGCTGGGGCCCCTTTGGCTGTGGCTCTCAACATCTCCCCCTCTCTCTGTTTAAACAACAAGCATGTGGCTTAGGGACCGTGCCTGCCTTAGGTTGTCCAATACTACATATGGTCCTTACCCGTCTTCAGATGAGCTGACCTCAGGGCGTCAGCCTCCTGTCTTAGGTTGGTACCATTGTAATTGGATCTTACCCGTCATTGACTACCGGTCCAGTATACAGCCACACCTGTGGAGAGGTCTTTGTACAGGGGGGGGGGTGAGGTTCTTTGCCTCACCTCTGTTGGCCCCCAAATTTTAGCTGAATGATCATGACAAGCAGAAAGGAGGAAGATACACCAAGCCAATTGACGGCTCTTATTGGAAAAATTGTACCACCTATGACATCATCAGCAAAAATACCCCAACACTACCACAAGTTGTAGATCATCAGCTGGATCATCAGCCAGCAGCTGGAAGTTTGCTGGCAGCTGGAAGTTTGCTGGGGCCCCTTTGGCTGTGGCTCTCAACAGATGCCTTCCATGTAGCCCCTGAAAGGAGGGGTGAGCAATGTGACACGGGAGGCTTGCTAGACATGTGGAGCACGCCTGGGATCTCAGGGACCCCGGAGGCTGAGGCAGGAGGGTCCCAAGTTGAAGGCCAGCCTCAGCAATTTAGTGAGACCTTGTCTCAAAAGATAAAAAGAATCGGGGATGTAGCTCAGAGGTCGAATGCCCCCGGGTTCTGTCCCCAGTACTAGGGGGAAAATGTGGGGCTTTTGAGTCTGGTTTCATTCATGTCGCTTGTTTTTGAGGTTCACCTACCTTGGAGACGTAGACTTCATTTCAGTGCCCGGAGCTTTCCGGGTATAGGCACGCCACGGTTTGCCTATCAACTCATGAATCTGCAGATACCAGGCTTAGGTCTACTTTTTGGCTATAAATTATGATGCTATGGGGGCTGGGGTTGTGGCTCAGCGGTAGAGCACTCACTTAGGACGTGCGAGGCCCTGGGTTTGATCCTCAGCACCACATACAGAAAAATAAATAAAATAAAGGTACTGTGTCCAACGACATCAAAAAAATTTATTAAAAGATTATAAACATTGGCATGGATATACACATTCACTTCTCTTGAGACAGTCCCTAAGGGCAGAGTCTTCCATATGATCCCATCACCCTGCAAATTGATGTTTCACTTCATAAGAAACTGCTTAACTGTTTTGCAAAATAGTAGCCCATGTCTTGACCTGGGTAGTGCTTATAGGAGAGTCTCAATTTATAAGTTACTTCTGGTTAAATTATATACTGATGTACTTTCTTAATTTCTTTTTTTTTATAACTATAGAAGTATTAAAAAATAAATTGGGGGTCGTGGTGGTGAATGGAGTGAACTCTGGGAGTTTGAACTTGGGGATGCTGCTCTGGGGTCTCCCTGAACCATGAGGCTGGAGCAACTGTGAACCAAACTCTACACAAATCTAAGCAGGGGTCCTAGGACCCGTCAGGTTCAGAACCTGGGCAGGTACATGCAAAGCATATGCAAATATATGCAAAGTAGTTCAGCTCTACCTGTTTCCCTCACCTGGGGGGTCCTGGTCCCAGAGCTTTAAGGAGCTAGGCTCAGGCACTCACAGCCTGACCTTCCTGGGAGGGAGGAAGCCTGCACCCCTGCAAGCAGCTGGGGATGGAGTATCACCTGCTAATCCCCAGCCTGCTGAGGCCACCACTCTCCCTGATCCCCACAATGACCCTGGATACTGGCCACAGCTAATCTCTACCCGAGGCCAACGGCTGGTAGACAGCACCGTGCACCCTTCCTGAAGTTGGCAGGAAGGAGAGGAGAGGGCCCTCCCAGCTCCCAGGCGCCCCTCATGCAGAGTCTAGGATGCTTGCCTATACAGACAGGAGCCTTGAGGCCCAGAGAGAGACAGAACCTAGTCCAGGGTCACACAGCCTGGGGTGGGCTCAGCAGCCATCCTGGGTCTGCCCTGGCCCGGCTGTCTCCAGGGATCCCCAGCTCCCTCTCGGACATTTCCCAAGATGCCTGGCTCGTGCTGAAGCTGGGGAAAG